TGTTGAAACACTTGCGCTAAAAGTAGTGTGACAGAAGTAATCTTTTGAACATGTTGTCGGAAGGTAACTGGGGTGAACCTGTGGCCTGCTGCCTATAAACCAAGGTGGAACAATTGTACAATATGCTGATATTCTGGGAGAGTGGAGGATTTGTGTGCAATGGTGTATTTTGATCTGCTATGGTACCAGTATGTTAGTTAGTTGGTCGCACTGTCATCTCTGGGTTAGAAGGGTGTGGGGGCTCAAGCCCCATGACATGACTTTGAGCTCACGGTCTATGCTGCCGTTCCAGTACATTGTCAGAGGTGCGTGTTTTGGACTGTCTGTGCAAGTGAACATTGGAGATCCTCTGGCAACTTATCGTTAAGACGTCTCAAAGCGCTTCACAAGTTGTGCTGTAAAGTGGATTGACTGTGTATTTTGTGGGTGAAGCACAGCAGCCAATTGGCACACAGCAGTGTCCCACGTACAGCTACGGAGGGAGTGACGAATTTTATTTGGGGGATTGTTGGCCAGGACACCGGGGAGTGAGAAACTCACTTTGCTTTTCAAATAGTGCCGCAGGATCTTTAACATCCACCTGACCAGGCAGACGGGAACCACGATTTAATGTCTCGTCTGAAGGATGGCATCATCTCCGGCAATGCAGAACGTCTCTAGTGGAGGGAACATTGACATTAAGATAGTCCGCTAAGCAAAATTTGCTTCCGCTTTGAATGCCCCGAAATCGCCATCTTTAAAATCGCAAAATGAAACCATTTACTTTTATTTCAACAGTATATCACACACCCGATATGTCAACAGCATATTCAGATGTCAGTCTACTTGATCAGTGCTGATGTTATTGCTGCTGTTGCTTCTTCCCGGCATCACGGTTTTATTGGTCTATCCCTTTGTATGAAGTTTGTTCGAAATGATTGAGTCTTGCCAAAAGGAAGGCTAGAAGTTAAGATGGGGTCACTTGCCTGTTCAGGTGGATGTTAAAGATCCCATGATGATCTGAGAAGAGATGGGAGTTTCTCCTGGGGAAGAATGTGTGAATTAATTGAATGCTCATCTATTGGACTTTGCTATTTGCAAATCAGCTTCCGTATTTGCGTATACAATCACAACACTTGACCCGTGAGGCACCTTTCATGCTATATGTGCAGTATCGCAGAGAAAGCGCTCCGGGAGGCTACCCCGCGTAAAGGGCGCTATATAAATGCAAGTTGTTGTTGCTGTATCCAATGCAAGGACAATTTATTCATATATTATTACCTGCACCAGGCTATGTTTTCTGAGCAACTCTGTACTTAATACTCTTATTATTCAATGCTGTTACAGACACAGCGATACACAGATGGAGAGGGACAGCTTAGTAGTGAGGCCTCATTTAAAAAAATGATTGAATGTGAACGTGGGAAACAGACGGGATGAGTGAAAGGGAGAGGAAAAGTAAAAGGTAAGCAAGTGATAGGAAAGGAGGGGGGTAAAACCCTGAAGTGGTAGAGAAGTTTGCAGTTATGTGTTTAGATTCACTTGAGACAGCAGTTTACATGTAGAATCCTTTTGAAAGTCTGTGACTATGGACTAGAGAAGTAGTTATTCAACGGTCTTCCATCAAAGTATGTTCGTGACTTTCTAGTTTTCTTTCAAATCACTCTGTCTGTGCCGTGTTTGATTTATTCCCTACCTCTATCCAAAGACTCGGGATTCCCAGGGCTCTGTTCTATCTCACTTTGTTCCTTTCTAAAAGTCTTGTTTGGAGATAGGAAAGTGTCAGCAAGCCTTTGAGGCTGTGTTTGCTTTAGAAGCTGTATCGAAAGGAATAAGGTCTTAAAAAGCTTTGTCCTGCTTCACTGTAAACCTGACTTGATTCCTTGTTTGAATCTGCCTGTATCCTTTGGTCCAGGAACTCTACAGTGTCTCATGGAATTGGAGCAATCTCTTACTCAGGGCAGTAATTGCGCCTGTCGGGCTTCACTTGCTCAAAGTCGATAATGTGGAGTCCTGTAGCTTAGTGGTTAGAGCACGCGCCTCGTAAGTGAGAGGACCTGGGTTCAATTCATGGGCAGGGCAAAATGTTGGGCAATTTTCCGTCTCTGTTTACCTAGCAGTAGGTAGGAACCCGGTTGTTAGCGATTGGCAGATTGCTTTATCAAATGCAAAGGTTATTATTATGTTTGTTTGACTATTACACATTTTGCTTTGTGCCGTTTTCTCTTCTGCCCTGATTGTTTTAAAATGAAAAAAATCTGCGACAATGAACAGTACATTACATTTTCTCAAACTGTATGCTGTTTAAATGCTTTTCAAAGGCTTTCCTGTCAAGTGCTAGAATGAATCGATAGGTAGAATCTGATGGTATGAGAGTGGAGCTTGTTTGATGGTGGAAGAGGAAGGGAGAGCAAACAGTGTTGATAATTATAATCCTTAATCCTCGCATTTGATGTTGCACTATTTGATATCACGTTGTTGAGACCTCTCAAAGCGCTTCACAGAATATATTGTAAAATAGCTTGACTAATTTGTGGCTGTACCTTATAATAATCCTTGCATTTGATATAGCGCCTTATCATGTCTTCGAAACCTCTCGAATAAGCTTCTGTATTTCTGATTGTGTTTCCTTATATCGTGTGAGCGTGGGCGTTTGTGTGGGGTGGAATAGATAATGCAGCTTTCCTTCTCTCACATCTCATTATCCCTTGACAGAATGCCAGGGGAGCACAAGAAACCTGTAAACATGGAAGAGAAGGAGTCCTCGGTTTTCAGCACAGAGAATCGGAGCAGTAAAGACAAAGAGAGCACGGAGAGGAGGGTCTCCTCAAACCGAGACAAGGGCCGCGACGATTCCAAAGGCAGCAGCAGAAGGGAGAGCGTCAAGGCTGTCGATGAGAAGAAGAAGAGGCAAGAGGACGAGAAGCGAAAGAAGGAAGATGAGAAGCGCAGGAAGAAGGAGGAGGAGAAGCTGAAAGCGGAAGAAGAGCAGCGCAAGAAGGAGGAGGAAGAGAAGCAGAAACTCGAAGAGGATGAAAGGCGGAAACAGGAAGAAGAGGAGAGAAGGCAGCGGGAAGAGGAAGCAGCTCGTCAAAGGTAAGATTTGTCGGGAGTGCCGTAGCTCAGTAGTTAGCGCGCTCGCCTCGCAAGCGAGAGGACTCGAGTTCGATTCCCGGCCGGAGCGAAACCTTAGGCCTAAGTTTCCTTACACCACTCACCTCTGTTTACCTGGCAGTAAACAGGAACCTGGTTTAGTCGATTGGCGGATCCGGGGTAATAATCCCTTCAAAAAAATAAGTGAGTAAATAATATTAATTTGGTCACTCGATCCACGATTGTTTGTAGGACACTGCTGTACGCCATTGGCTGCTGTCATTTCGCCCACAAAATACAGTCAAATTCATTTTACAGTATATTCTGTGAAGCACTTTGAGACATCTCAATGACGTGATAAGGCGCTATGTCAAATGTAAGGATTATTATTAAGATTTGGGGCATCTTCAAGCTTTAAGAGCTGGTTTAGGGAAACCTTGAGAAGTTTATAGCTGCACACTGAAGAATGCAAAATCGATTTTTCTTTTGAAATTGTTTCCTCTTTGATTTTCTCTCCTGCCTAAGCGCAAGCTGTTGTGTTTTCACATCATAAGCCAGGACACCGCGGGGAGTGGGAAATGCCTGCACTTCTATCTGTACTGCTACATGCGGCCTATCAAGAACACTTGTGTATGTGCAAGAGAAAAACACATTTTCCTTTAAAGGCGTTTGATGTCTCTCTCTCTCTCTCTCTCATGATGTGTAGTTTTTAGGCTTTTAGCATATCTGCCCCATCTCTCTGGAAATCCATCCCAGAGTCCCTGCAACTTGCCCCTTCCCTCGCCTCCTTCAAGGTCCATCTCAAGCCTTTCCTCTTTACCATGCTTTTGGCTATCTTCCTCCCCCCAACCATCACCACCACCACTCCCTCGGACCCCACTCCCAGCTCGGGTGCAAAGACTGCTCAGCACTTTGGGACATCCTCACGATGTGAGAGCTCTATATAAACATAAATTTATATTGCATTGTAGTTCTGTACAGCCGCCAGTGCTTCACCCAGTCAGCCATTATTCATGTGGGAGCCTTAGCCGTGAATGTTGGCAGACTATTCCCACGTACATGTTCATCACTCATCACATCCCTGGCTGGGATCAGCTAACTCAGCAGGGTTTGAACCAGTAACCGTAGAGTCTGCATAGCCTAATGGTGCCTCACAAAATGTAGTCACTTGTATTCAAGTGAAATTCACAGAATCTCTGGGATTTGGTGCATCAGCATTGTGAACTCCAGTGAAAGGGACAATTGTGAGTGAGCTTCTCTAGCTTAACTGATGCTATGTGAGCCCTCGTGTGTGTGTGTGTGTGTGTGTGTGTGTACTTCAGTTCTGCTGGCCATGTTATACTGACTGGCTTTACCCGGGATGTGTATCTGGGACGGTCAACATGCATGCAAATTGGGATGCATCAATGTGTAAATTAATCCTTAAAGTACTGTTGGAAGATTAAAAAAAGTATAAAGTATATATTAAAAAAATTGGTCACTCAATCCACACCAATGGGACACTGGTGTGCGCAATTGGCTGCTGCATTTCGCAGTATATCCTGTGAAGAGGTTTGAGACGTCTCGGAGATGTGATAAGGCGCTGCATCAAATGCAAGGATTATTATTATTATAGAAGTATAAATTACAATTTATAAATTAGGTAAAAAGGTATAAATGACCTTTTATACTCTTTTTTAACCCGTAGATCAGCAACACCCTATACAGCGATTCCCATTTCTATGAGCCAACTACAGTGCAACTTTATTATTACAGGGTTTTTAGAGTGCTGTCAGTGGCTGAGTTAGCACCATCTAAGGCTTGATGGACTGAATGTCTTCCTCTTGTGTTGTAATTCGTACAACGCTGTGACTTTAGCTCAGTTTGTGGTTTGCAATATATTGCAATATGGGGAGTCCTGTAGTGTAGTGTTTAGCGTGCTCGCCTCGCAAGCGAGAGGACCCGGGTTCGATTCCTGGGCGGAGCAAAACCTGAGGCAAGTTTCCTTACACCCCACACCTCTGTTTACCGAGCAGTAAGTATGCACCTGGTTGTTGGTTGATTGACGGATTGCTTTCCAGGGTTAATAATCCCTCAAAAAAAAATTCACTACACCTATGACTGTTTGTGGGACACTGCTGTGTGCAATTGTCTGCCACTTTAAACCCACAAAAGACACAGTCAATCCACTTTTACAATTTATTCTGTGAAGCGCTTTGAGGAGTCCAAACGACTCGATAAGGCGCTACCATCAAATAGAAGGATTAATATTCTTATTACTGTATATGTCTTATGTCTCACATTTTGCTGCTTTCCTTCCTCGCGTGCTGTAGAGAAATGGAAGAAGCGCATCAGCTGCATCAGGAGGCTTGGGAGCGCCATCAGGCCAGGGTGGAACTCCGCAGCAAGAATCAGGGCGCACACGAGGGGCGCCCCGAGGAGAGCTTCTTCACCAGGCTGGACTCCAGCCTGAAGAAAAACACCGCCTTCGTCAAGAAGCTGAGGACCATAACCGAGCAGCAAAGAGACTCTCTGTCCAGCGACTTCAACAGCCTTAACCTGAGCAAGTACATTGCGGAGGCTGTGGCCTCGGTCGTGGAAGCCAAACTGAAATTGTCCGACGTGAACTGCGCCGTTCACCTGTGTTCCCTCTTCCACCTGCGCTACGTGGACTTTGCCCCTCTGCTCCTCCAGGCCTGGAAGAAGCACTTCGAAGCCAGGAGGGAGGAGAAAACTCCCAACATCAGCAAACTGAGAACGGACCTGCGCTTCATCGCCGAGCTGACTATCGTGGGGATTTTCACCGACAAGGAGGGGCTGTCGCTCATCTACGAGCAGCTGAAGAACATCATCAACGCGGACCGCGACTCCCACACGCACGTGTCCGTTGTCATCAGTTTCTGCCGTCACTGCGGAGACGATATCCCCGGCCTGGTGACCAGGAAGATGAAGCTGGCCTCGGAGAAGTACAGCCTGAGCTTCCCCCCCAGCGAGATCATCAACGCTGAGAAGCAGCAGCCCTTCATGAACCTCCTGAGAGAGTACTTCACCTCGCTCACCAAACACCTCAAGAAAGATCACCGCGAGCTGCAGAATTTGGAGAGGCAGAACAGGTTTGCGTTTTTGTTATTACTATTATTATCATAATTCTGTGTAATCCTGTGGAGTCCTCACACAAGTGAGAGGATCCCGGTTCGATTCCCGGGCGGGGCGTAACTTTAGACAAGTTTCCTTACTCGACACGCCTCTGTTTACTCAGCAGTAAGTAGAAAGTCGGTCGTTAGTCGATTGGCGGATCGCTTTTCTGGGGGTAATAATTTCATCAAAAAAAAGATAAATAATTTGGTCACTCAATCCACGACTGTTTGTGGGGCCGCTGCTGCGCGCAATTGGCTGCCGCGTTTCGCCCACAAAATACACAGTCAACTCACTTCACAATATGTTCTGTGAAAAGCTTTGAGACATTTCAAAGACGAGCTAAGGCGCTGTATCAAATCCAATGATTATTTATTATTATGCTTCACCTTTCCTCCAGGCGAATCTTACATTCGAAAGGGGAGCTGAGTGAAGATCGACACAAACAGTACGAGGAATTTGCCACCTCCTACCAGAAGCTGCTGGCTAACACCCAGAGTCTCACTGACCTGCTGGATGAGAACATGCCAGAGCTACCCCAAGATAAATCCGCACAGGAAGGTAAGGCTGTCCGTCAGAGGCGACGCGTTTCAATAATTCCTTCATGACAACAACATATATATCGTGCCTTAGGCTGTGTCCGTACCGTATGGCATTACAATGATAGCGCTTGATAATATTGTTGTTTTGGGTGAGTTTAAAGCCGGTGACAGATGTCCTCGGCACTCACTGTTGCAGTCTTGAAAGATGGACTGACTGTAATGCAGACTCTCCCATTGAACAAGCCCTCATCCTTCTCTTTGGAGCTGGTATTTTCACCATTACGATATTCACCACCGATATTATCTGTACAACATCTGTGTCAGGGTGACCTGGCATGGCTTGCCTGCCTATTTGTTAATGTACTCCAGTACTATTGGCGTCCTGACTGACTGCCTGTCCAACATGAAGTCCTGGAGGAGGGACAACTTTCTCCAACTGAATGTCAGCAAGACCGAGACCCGAATGATTGGCTCGCGCCAGTGCCTCTGCACTTCGGGCGCTGGCAACATCAGCCTCCACTGCTGCACACTCAACCTGACTGAGCCATTCAGGAACCTGGATATCTTGTTTGACCCTGAACTGTCCCTTCTTCCCCATATCCGTGCCATGACCGGCACTGCCTACCACCACCTCCGCAACATTGCCAGACTCCGCCACTGCCTCACCTACACGTTCGCCACATCAAGGCTCGATTATGGGAATGCCCTCCTCATCGGCCTTCCCAACTCTTCCCTTCACACGCTGCAGATCATCCCAAACTCTGCAGCTCGTGTACTCTCACGCACCAGGCTCCGTGACCCCATCATTCCCACCCTCGCCCGACTCCACTGGCTCCCCATCCCCCAGAGGATCGAATTTAAGATCCTCGTCCTCACTTTCAAGGCCATCCATGGCCTCACCCCCTCCTACCTCTCTGACCTGCTGATTCCCTACCAACCTGCTCGCTCCATCCGTTCAGCGGGCTCCGGCTGCTCCATGTCTCCCGCCCAATCCACCCTACCATCAGTGGCCGGGTTTTCAGCTTCTCTACCCCCACACTCTGGAACTCCATCCCACAGTCCCTTCACCTCACTTCCTCCCTTGCCTCCTTCAAGGCCGGTCTCAAGACCCTCCTCTTCGAACGTGCCTTCAGTCGTCCTCCCACCTCTCTGCCTTCCTACACCCCTACCCCACACCTCCCCCATGCTCGGCTCCTGACCCCTGACTGTCCAGCGCTTTGGGACGTTCTCTATAAATGTATAAATGTTCTATAAATGCAATTTTGTTGTTGTTGTTGCACCATTGCATGTATAGACCTGTGTTGCAGGAGACATAAGTAGGCTGTGTGGATTTGAAGCACTATGTACAGTTATAATTTTGTGAAAATGGCTCCATTTGCAAATCTTGTTGTGTGAGATTTAATGCCAGCTGTGACTCATTGCAACATCGTCTATTTTTGGGTGAGAAATAGCTCTGTGGATTTAAATTTCTATATTGTAGAGCTTGGATCCATTACATTTTCAGTTAGGCAATAATCAATCCACGACTGTTTGTGGGGACGCTGCTGTGCGCAATTGGCTGCCGCATTTCTCCCCAACATATACAGTCAATTCACTTTACAGTATATCCCGTGAAGCGCTTTAAGACGTCTCAATGATGTGATAAGGGGCTGGATCAAATGCAAGGATATTATTATTATAATCACTTACCTGAATTAATTATCTGCTTCCCCCCCCTGCCCTCCACCCTCACCAATCCCGACCCCCAGCTCGGGTCTGAGACACTGACTGTCCAGTGCCTCGGGACGTCCTCCCGACATGAAAGGCGCTGTACAAATGTAATTTTGTTGTTGTTGTTAAAGAGAATTGGCACAGATGTGAGTCCTACAAGGCAGTTTAAAAAAAACCTTGTAGAATAATACGCAAGTAAATTGAATACTTTAACTTGACCTGTTCAGGGTCAGTGGGCGAGCTGAGTTACTGAATCACAAACTACTGTTTGAACTTGTTCCATTGATATCAACACCCAGATAAATCTCAAAAGAAATACCACATTAAGTTGACGTGGACATGATTAAATCCTACTGCTGTAACAAACACTTGTGACCACTCTATCCTCCTGCGCCACCTCTGCTCTCACCACAACCTTCAAGGTTCTGTCCTTGAATGGTTCTGATCCTACCTCTCAAAGCCGTCTGTACTTAATAATAATAATAATAATAATGCTTGCATTTGATATAGCGCTTTTTCTCGTCTTCTCGACGTCTCAAAGCGCTTCACAGAATATACTGTAAAGTGAATTGATCGTATATTTGTGGGCGAAACGTGGCAGCCGTTTGCTCACAGCAATGTCCCACAAACAGTCGTGGATTGAAAATGACCAATTTATTATTGCCTTAATAGTGGAGTAAGGAAACTTGCCCAAGGTTCACCCTGCCTGGAATTCAACCCAGATGTCTCGCTTGCAAGGCGAGTGCTCTAACCACTGAGCTACAGGACTACTTCATCCCCACAAACGACCTCTCCTCTATCCCCCGCACCGTCTCTATCCTTGGTCCCCTCCTCTTCGATATTTATATGCTCCCTCTTGGTGACATCACCTGCAGACACGGCGTAAATATCTACATGTATGCGGATGACACCCAACTCTTTCTCTCCTCCTCCACCCTTGACTCCAGGACCACTGCTGTCCTGACAGAATGTCTGTCGGACATAAAGGCCTGGATGAGAGCTAACTTTCTACAGTTGAACGTCAACAAGACCGAGGCTCTCCTGATTGACTCTCGTCAGCGCCTCCTCACCTTGAGCACTGACAGCATCACCATCCAAGGATGCACACTCCACATCCCTGAGCCAGTCTGGAACCTTGGCGTCTTGTTTGACCCTCCATTATCTTTTCTACCCGACATCTGTGCCATAACCCGCTTTTGCCTTCCCCCACCTCCGTAACATCGTCCGGCTCTGCCAGAGTCTCACACCACAGGCCGCCGAGAACCCTCACACGTGCATTCATAACATCCAGTCTCGACTATGCAAACTCCCTTGCTTGTCGGTCTCCTCAACTCCTCCCTCCATAGGCTGCAGATCATGCAGAACTCTGCAGCCCATGTCCTCTCCCGAACCAGGCTCCGCGACTCACATCACCCCCATCCATGCCCAACTTCACTGGCTTCCCATCACATAAAGGATGCAGTTCAAGATCCTGGTCCTCACCTTCAAAGCCCTCCATGCCCTAGCTCCCCCCGACCTCTGCAATCTCCTAACCCCCTACCATCCTGCTCGCTCCCTTCGCTCAGCCGGCTGCAGCCTGCTGCACGTTCCCCTCCTCGCCTGCCCCACCATTGGAGGGCGGGCCTTCTGCCACTCTGCCTCCACCCTCTGGAACTCGATGGCAGGTTGTTTGACGATTGTCTAATACAATCCTGACCAACATCCCCAGTGCCCATCATCATACACATTGTAGCAGGGCATTCTGGAGAAGCAGGGAGGCTGGCCGAGGCCACGTGGCGGTGCTTTGAGCTCACCACCCGCTCAGACACCTCACTGACGGGTGTTCTGTATGGTGATGTGCTTTGGATGAGCCGTTAAACTGAGGTCCAGTTTAGGTTGCAAATCACAACGCTGTTCTTTTATTAAAAAAACATCATTCCTCCAGATTAATTGGTCACTCGCGACATTTATGCAATTGGCTGCCCCGTATCAAATGTAAGGATTATTATCGAATTGCCAGATTATTATCGACATAAAATGTAAATGTCATTGTGTAGTTATTCAAATTGCTGTTCGGTGCAAAGTAGATTGAGGCAAATGGCCACTGGGTGTCAGCACAATAACAGCTTGGTTGCCACTGATACTGTTGGTTGGCAACTTGGCACCAATTATAACGCTGGTTTGCATGTTGTTTCACAGAGCACGGCACCGGCATTGACATCTTTACGCCTGGAAAACCTGGAGAGTATGACTTGGATGGCGGAATCTGGGAGGATGAGGATGCCCGGAATTTCTACGAGAACCTCATTGACCTGAAGGTCTTTGTGCCAGCCATATTGTTCAAAGACAATGAAAAGAGCAAAGACTCCAGCAAGGAAGAACCGAAAGGTAACGATTCGCAAGGTCTTTTGGATCACAATTTGCTTTACAGTATATCCTGTGAAGCGCTTTGAGGCGTCTTGAAGATGTAATAAGACACTATATCAAATGCAAGGATTATTATCGTTATTATTGTTCCCCACGTCGGCGAAACATGGCAGCCAATTGCGCACAGTCATTACTTCACACTGGTTCCCTGGGTTAAATCGTAAGCTTTGTGCACAAGTGTGCAAACTGGTGTTATGCCAACTGCAGGTCTACTTTACCTGTGTGTTGAAGCCCAGATAAGATACAGATAAGGAGAGGTTGACTATTGGAATGCAGTTATGTGGCATTGTAATATAGCCTAAAGGATGTAAATGGGCTAAAATACTTGGGCTGAGTCAAGAGCAGGAATGGAGTCAAATTTCACTTGCAGAGTAGATGATTTCAGTATTTTCTGTGCCCTGATTTTTCTTTGTTATAAGAAGTACAGTTCTGGAACATCTGGCTGCCCTTTCTGCATGTGTAAAGAAAGCCACACAGACTTTTTTTTTTTGAAGTGCCTGCTGTGCTTTTTTGTGTTGGAGTGAATCTGAACTAATCTGAACTAATTGCTGAGAGTAATATGGAACAATGTCCTGGATGCTTTCCAGGGAACATGGGTCCATCCTTCATTTGTCAAAATAAGGCTAATTCGGCCAAGTGTTTGGGTGCCACACATTATTGCCTTATACCTTGATAATGCCTTCAATGTACAAGGAAGTTACTTATCCTTTGATCCACTTTTACTAGCTTACTTTATCCAAGAATGATTGAGGATGCCTTTGTTAGTGGCTTACATTTGTGGAGTCCTGTAGCTCAGTGGTTAGAAAGGACCTGGCTTCAGATTCCTGGGCGGGACAAAACCTTAGGCAAGTTTCCTTTGAAATTGGAATTGAAAGGATTAGTTGAGGTACAGATCAGCCATGATCTAATTAAATGGGGGAACAGGCTCGAAGGGCTGAATGGCCTCCTCCTGTTCCTATGTTCCTTACCCCACACGACTCTGCTTACCTAGCAGTAAGTAGGAACCCGGTTGTTAGTTGACTGGCGGATCGTTTTCCGGGGGTAACAATCCCACAACAAAAATTCACTCATTCTACAACTTTTTGTGGGACACTGCAGTACGCAATTGGCTGCCGCGTTTTGCAGTCAATTGACTTTACAATATTCTGTGAAGCATCTCAATGACGTGATAAGGCGATCTATCCAATGCAAGGATTATTATTATCACTATATGATTTTTTTTTCCTTTTTCTCCCCCTCTATAATTTTAGGACATCATTTTTTGTAAAGTCTTTTAGACCAAGGGAACCAGATTCTTAATGAGTGACCTCTCAATACACTGTTATGCATCTGACTGCCATCACTTTAGAAATTTTATTGTATATTTTTTGTTTTGGGTTAAAAGACCTGCGATATCCTCAGTGATGTGGACATAATTTGCAACCGACTCGTTTACTCTTCTGATTTAGCAGTCTGTACAGACAAACCCACAGATACACAAAATAGTTTGTGTGTATAAACTGCAAAATCCATACTTTCCATTTTTTTCCCCAAAAAATCCTGTGTACAACACAACCTGCTCGAGTCCAAACCCTTGACTGTCCTCCTGAGGCGAGAGACGCTACACAAGTGTAATTTTTTATTGGGTTTTTTACAAGTTAAATCACTTCTCGCTCAGATCCCAAGGATGCAAAAGACTCCAAAGAGGTGGCCCCAGCAGAGGAGCTGGATTTGGAATTGGAGAATCTGGATATTAATGATGAAATTATGGAAGATGAAGGAGTAGATGAGCCTGAGGACCTTACTCAGAAGATTTTGGAAGAACATGGTAAGACTTACTTAGATTATCTTGGACTATTGTTATTACCTTTATAATAATGCACATATTTTTGAGATAAGACTTTACACCAAGGTCCCATCTGCCTGTTCAAGTGGACGTTAAAGATCCCACAGAGAGTTTCTCTATCTCAGTGTCCTGGCCAACAATCCAACAATAAAAACTAGGCACTAACTTTATGGCTGTTGTGTACGTTACTGTGCACATATTGGTTGCTACCTTCGCATACAGTCAAACCAATTTACAGAAAATCTGAAACTTGTTGAGATCTTTTAAAGCAGGGCCTCGTGGCTTGGTTCCCAATAGTGATACGGAGGAAGTGAGCCTTGGGGTCATGTGTGGCTTTGGGGGGGGCAATGGGGCAATTTGTAATTTGGTGGGGTCAGGAGGATTACAGAACTGGAAGAAAAAATTAATACTTTTATGGAGATGAAGGAGTGTGATGCTGGCACTTGCTGTAATAGAAACATGTTTCTTTTTCTAACCCACGACTGTTTGTGGGACGCTGCTGTGCGCAGTCGGCTGCCACATTTCACCCGGATAATACGCAGTCAATCCACTTGACAGTGTATTCTGTGAAGCATCTCAACGATGTGACAAGGTGCTATATCAAATGCAAGCATTATTATTATCATTATTGTTTCTCCCCTACCCCTACCCCCACCCGGTGCAGTCTCTTAAATCTAAAAATTGCCTTTATTCTGTGATTCTGACTTTTCGCTGTGATTCTTTGCAGAGCAAGAGGATGAAGAAACCAGCACTGGTTCACACCTCAAACTGATAGTGGACGCGTTTCTCCAGCAGTTACCCAACTGCGTCAACCGTGACTTGATAGACAAGGTACCACACACACACACACACACACACACAGACACACACTCCCAGCTTCACGCCAATCGCATGTCCACATCTCTTGTTCAGTTTTCTCTCCTCCCGAAGGAGTGGCGTGTTTATTTTTATTTCTGTGGATGCCGGTCACCATCCTGTACCTCGCCTACATGAGTGTGTATTTGCGTATGACCTTACCCGTGTGCACTTCCAGGGGAATTTACAGGACTCGAATAAAGAAATAGTTTCCTGGTAGGTGAAGGAATATGATCCCGGTACCGTGGGAACTCGATTAGAAACGTAGACATTTGCAGCACAGAAGAAAGACGTTTGGCCCATTTTGAGTGTGTTCTGACACCTTTTAAGAACATTCATTTCAGTCCCATTTACCTGCCCTTTCCCCTCCATACACTTGTAGCTGACTTCTTTTTAGTCCTGTAATATATTGGTTGGAGGGGCTCGCCTCACAAGCGAGAGGACCCGGATTCGATTCACGGGTAGGGCGAAACATTAGGCAATTTTCCTTACTCCACATGCCTCTGTTTGCCTACCAGTAATTAGGGACCTGGGTGTCAGTCGATTGGCAGATCGCTTTGTGGGTGTAATAAATAAATAAATAAAAATAATTTGGTCAACACGCACAGCACTGAGAGAGAGGGTAGTGCTCAGCTAGATGGATGCATCCATGAATTGGTCCTGCTCGGAAAATATAATTCCCCACTTCTAGAATGACTTGGTGCTGGGACCTGTATCTATTTTCTGCCATGAATCACCCTTGTCGGAAGGTGAGGAGAGTTTAGGTACATTGGCACCTCGAATGGTGCTTTAAGAAATATCGATTAATATTAAATACATAGTCGCTCCACTTTACAGTATATCCTGTGAAGCACTTTGAGACAGTCCAAAGACGTGATAAGGCCCTATTTCAAATGCAATGATTATTATTGTATTCAGTAGGTGGGAGATTAACTGACCGCAGTCACCAAATAATCCGGCGCTGCGCAAGAACTTTTAAGTTTAATTTCTGTGCAAGTTGTAATTGTAGCCAGAAATACTGTAATTAATGGCATTAGTTTCAATTCCTTATCCCACTTCCTGAGGCGGTGTTGTTATTAATGATAATATGAAAATCATCTTTACATTTGATATAGCAACTTATCATGTCATTATATCAAATGTAAGGATTATTATTGTTAGTGCAAAACTCCAAAAATCAAATCCTTTTACTTCAAACAAACTCGAAATGTTTTACGTTTCATTGAAATGGATGCAAACCAGACTAAACATTTGTACAGAAAGGATTAAGCGCCCGACTGTCTGAATCAATGGATTATTTATATATTATTTATTATTATTGTTGGGCAGAGCAGAGCTAGGAATTGGAATTGATACCCTTAAAGACTATATTTATACAGCACTGTAAATGATGATTAACTGTGAAATGTGTCGTGGGATCATTGAGAAAGTGCGCTTTAAACAGGGCATAAATTACTCCGTTGGTTGGACAGTCCTTTCTGGCCAAACTTTTAGTTTGGTTTGCATCCATTTTAATGAAAAAAGTTTTGAAATTTTTCGAAGCGAAATTATTTTAACCTCTGGGTTGATTTTTGCAAGGATGCGTTGACCAAGTGCCTTGACCAGTTTTGCACTTAAGAGAAAAAATAATCTTGACAACATCATAATATTGGTCGGGATGAAGAAGGTCCTCATCTCTAGAGAACATCTCTACAGATCTCATCTCTACAGAACACCCACCCTACCTACCTACCGACCCCCATCGCTGCATCAAGCTGCTGTTCGAACGAGTCCCAATGTCCTGGCCTCAACCACCTTTCCTGGCAACCCTGTTTCAGCCATTGATTACCCTCTGCATGAAAAAAATAGTTCTGGTGTCTGTCCTGAAATTGCCCTTTACAAGTCTAAACCCATAGTTTCTTGTTCTGCTCCACGCCCTCTTGTTTAAGCACCCTGAGTCACTGCCCTGCATGAAGGCCACGACACAAATGCAAGTTGTTATTCTATCGATGAACTCATAAAATAATGGCATTGTTAGCTGAATTGCGATGCCTAGAAATAGTTGCTCGCTCACTTAGTTCTTTGGGACACTTTGCTGCGATGGGGGCTATAACAAACCCAAGGATTGTCATTAGCGCTGTGTGAGGGGTGCTATACAAATGCAAGTTGTTGTTGTTATCCAAAATGTTAACAGAAAGATTTTGTAAGACGTTTTTAAGGTTGACCATGTGTTGTTTTTTTTTTTCTTTCTTTCTCTCTCTCACGCAGGCTGCAATGGATTTCTGCATGAACATGAACACGAAAGCTAACAGGAGGAAGCTGGTGCGAGCTCTGTTCACCGTGCCCAGGCAGAGGTTGGTGCATTCCCTCAGTTACTGTCAGTAGCCCTTCAGTTGGTGGAGGCTGATTATATGGAATGTGACTGCTGCTGCTCTGAAGGCCGTCCTTATTTGAGGTGTTGCCTCATGTCGACAGATAGCACTGCGGCTTCACAGAGACGTCGATCACAATCAAGAGCTAGTTTGTGCACATCTGTCACTCGTAGATAGTGTGCTTCATTTCCTGGCCCCTCCCTATTTCTCTCTCTCCGATCTGCTTACTCCCCAACCCACTACCCGCCACCTCCGCTCGACTGGCTCCTGCCTCCTATTTATGCCACGCGCCTCTGTTCCACCAACGTTGGCCGCGCTTTCAACCACTACGCCCCAAAACTCTGGAACAGTCTTCCTCAATCACTCTCCTGCCTTACCCGCTCCTGCCCCATCTTCAGGTCACCCCTGAAGACCTTCCTCGTCGACCGTGCTTACGGTCACTTCGCCCCGGTTCTGTGTCGTGCTCTGCCACTGTCAAGCTCTCTGAGACGCTATCCTGCATGAAGGGCGCTATATAAGTGGTTGTTGTTGTTTAGCTGATATCTGGTTAAGAGCCACCAACTACACTATGAGCGGAATAGACTACGCAGGATGGCAGTGGCAGTAGATTGAGAAAGTTCACGAGGGAATTAGGTAGTGATTTAAAGAAGAATTTGATGGGTGAGAAAGAGAGTTAAATAATAATAATAAATAATATAACAATAAATAAATAATAATTAAGATTAAGTTAAGATTATTTTGTGCAGATGAACTGCAGTGGTCTATTTTTCTCTTACATTTCAGTGTAATACAGGATCAGCTGTTGTGAAGAGAAACTTGTGAAGAGTTTCACGTGGGGCAAATTGATTTATAATGCTTTTCTTTCTCTTCTTCCCTCCCCCCCCGCCCCCAAACAGATTGGACTTGCTTCCGTTTTACGCCCGTCTAGTTGCCACTTTGCACCCGTGCATGTCTGATTTGGCCGAGGACCTGTGTGCCATGTTGAAGGGGGACTTTCGATTTCACGTATGTCTTATCAATTTCAGCTTCCCCGGAGTCCTGCTCTATCGGTTTCAATTCCCAATCCCTCTTCCTGAGGTTTAATTTAACAATATATGGTAATAGTCATTACATTTGATGTAGAACCTTATTGCGTCATATTACTATACATAATAATAATTTTGATTGGAATGATAATAATAATTTGGTCACTCAAGACACTGCTGTGTGCCGTGTTACCCCCTCCCCCCACAAAATATACAGTCAATTCACTTTATAGTATATTCTGTGAAGCCCTTTGAACGACGCCATATTAAATACAAGGAGTATTATAATATTATCTATATATATGGAAGGAGAAGAGAGAAAGTGGAATGATCAGTTTAAACCCATTCTTTTCTCATTGGAAACTAGTGCATTAGGAAGATCATGAAATATATATACAGTACATAAACATTGTTTTAAATTGTAGGAACACAGTCTTGTTTTTTTTGGCAAAGAAAGTATATTCAGATGGACTTCAAAGATCCCATGGTGCTATTCGAAAAAGAGAAGGGAGTTTCTCTCTCCTGGTGTCCTGGCCAATAATCCCCCAAAATACAATGGGTCATTCACTTCACGGCTGTTTGTGGGACATTGCTATCTGCAAATTGGCCATCGGGTTCGCCCATAAAACACACAGTCACTCCATTTTGCAATATTTCATGTGAAGCGCTTTGGGATGTCCGCCTGATGTGAAAAGCATTATACTAACCGCAAGGATTCATTATTATATTCTACAGGCAAATAAATTTTGATGTGAATGTTCAAGTTGTTAGTTGTATGGACTCCAATAATATCCACTGTGACGGTAGATTAATCCATACAGAATTAATTGTATGGATTAATTCATTGCTATAAACATCCTCATTATTGTAGCAAGTGACTACCAGGATGGTAGAAGTGAACTAGATGGACCTTGATCTTTTTTTCGTGTGGGAATTTCTATGATAAAGACGATTGGGTTATTTTGATGCCGTCAAAAATGTTTTGCGCCTATACCTTCTGTTCTTCCGTTTCAGGTCAGGAAGAAGGATCAGATCAATATTGAAACAAAGAATAAGACCGTGCGCTTTATCGGGGAGCTTACAAAGTTTAAAATGTTCATGAAGAATGATTCTCTGCATTGCCTGAAGGTTGGTAAACAGTCTTGACACCTGTATGCCTTGAACGGTGGGAGGGAATGATTCAGCCATTTATTTCTCATTGGAATTAAAACATCAGCAACATTCTGTAAAAAAATTTTTGCTTGATCAGAGACTAATTTTTTTTTTCCATTTTGTTTTAAATTTCTCCCCGAGCAGATGCTTTTGTCTGATTTTTCCCACCATCACATCGAGATGGCTTGCACACTTCTGGAAACAACCGGCCGCTTTCTCTTCCGATCTCCTGAATCGCATTTGAGGACCAGCGTTCTCCTGGTAAGATATTGAACATAGTATTAGAGCACTCACCTGAGCAAGTGAGAGGACCCGGGTTCGATTCACGGGCAGAGTGAAACCTGAGATAAGTTCCCTTACTCCACACGGCTCTGTTTACCTAGCAGCAAGTAGAAATCCGATTGTTAGTCGATTGGCAGATCGCTTTCTGAGGGTAATAATCCCTTCAAAAATAAATAAATGAATAATTTGGTCATTGCAGTTGGCTGTCGCGTTTCACCCACAAAATATATATAGTCAATTCACTTTACACTTTACATCCTGTGAAGTACTTTGAGACGTCTCGAAGACGTGATAAGGCGCTATATCAAATGCAAGGATTATTATTATTTATTTTATCAGTCAGTAGGTTAAAACTAACCTGTCTTACGACGGTCTAAAAAATGAACTCTATAAAGAATTTGAGTTTATATTGTTTCCTTTCTCGCATTCCTTGGGGAGTTTGGGGCATCATTTGGCATCTATCTGAGAAGAACAGAGCAATAATTCTCACCTGCCTGCAACAACAACAGCTTGCATTTATAAAGCATCCCTCACGGAGCGCTTCACACTAGCGGAGTCTGACAACGAGCCAGGAGGAGAGGGAGTGGGAGGTGACCGTAAGCACAATCAAAAAAGGAAGGTCTTTAGGCGAGGTTTGAAGGCAGGTGCGGACAGAGGGGGCAAGGCAGGGGGAAGAGAGTTCCTGAGTTTCGGGCGTAGTGGCTGATACATATCTAGCAGGTTGCGCCAATTTCTCCTCACGGTGAACATCATTCACCATAATCTGGTAGCAACGGCAAATCGTCATGACCTTCTTAGCTAAGAAAGACCCAGAGAATCTCACTGCATAGAAGGAGGCTATTTGACCCATTGTACCAATGCCAGCTCTTTGAAAGAGCCGTCCCAACTAGTTCCACTCCCTTGCTCTTACCCTATAGCACTGCAATTTTTTTTTCAAATACATATCCAATTCCCTTTTCAAAGCAACTATTGAATCTGCTTCCACCGCCCTTTCGGGCAATGCATTCCAGATCAGAGAGGTGTGGCCTCAAGTATGCTTTAACAAAGAAGGAAGGAGGGAGTTTTTTTTTAAAAACTTAACTACTATATAAACATGTTTTTTTAAAAATCAGATTTTTTTTTTCCCTTTCCAATACGTGAAGGTGCTAATATTCTGGATTCTATAGGGAAAGAAAGATTTAACAATGAAACGATCATTAAGTTGGGGCATTTATTTGTAAGTGTACAGGGCCTGACGGAAAGCAACCGAGGCTATTTAAGGAAATGAGGGCGGGCAAGTCATAGCTGAAATTCTAGGCGGCTTATTAAATAGTTAGTACCGGATGTTTCCAACGTTGCTGCATTACCATGTGTTTGGGCCAAAATGTTGTCCTAGGATCTGTAGGCATTGTGCTGAACACATGTACAGAGGACACAGGAAAAAACAGAGCCTTAGGAGGCAATTCCAGAATCTTTTTACATGACAAAAGCTGTTTCTGTCTCTCAAGTGATGTCCACGCAAATGCATTTTATCAACGGTTTCTGGATCATGAACAGGAACCCTGGCCAGTCTTGCTCCTTTCTGCTCCTCCCTGGTCTTGAGAGATTGTGAGGCATGAATGCAGAGGTTAATTGCAACACTACTACTCCATCTGAGATCAGTTAACCAGGGATTAAATTGAAATTCTTTGCGGAGTCCTGTAGTGTAGTGGTTAGAGCACTTGCCTCACAGGACCTGGGTTTGATTCCCAGACGGGGCTAAACCTTAGGTAAGTTTCCTTACTCTACACACCTCTGTTTACTTAGCAGGAACCCAGTTATTAATCGATTGGCTTTCTGGTGGTAATAATCCCTTCAAAAAATAAATAAATGAATAATTTGGTCACTCAATCCATGGCTGCTGTGCATTTGGCTGCCAGTTGCAATTGACCATAAGTACGGTCAAAGAAGGGGGATGGGGTTTCATCCTAAACTCACAGGTCTAACATTTAAATGACATTGTACATTTAAATGATCTAATGCAAGTTAGCATTATATTGCGATTGGGGGTATGTGCAAAAAGGCAAACGATTTTTTGCTGAACGAATCCTTGACTGGCCTAAAGGGCTTTCTGTGCGAATGAGAAGAAAAGTGCCTCAGATGTCTGACTTCACATCTTTCTCGAAGGTTTGCAAAAGCATGTGGACGTACAACTGTTATTTTTGGTGGTGAGGGAATTTTCAGATGGGTTTCATTAGGAGTCCGGCACTAGAAATAAATAGGCAATTGTTTTAGTAAGTTAAGGGGTAGTGGTGGCGGAGGTGGGGTGGGGGGGGTGGGGAAGAGAAGGAGGTAATTGAAAACTTTCCAGCAGAAAGACTTGAGATCTTTAAACATAAGTCATACCATGTATTGTCCTACATTGTTCTTTGGCAGGTGTGAGTTTTGTGACTCACAAATAATGAGATATTGTTTATATGCCACATATAAACAATATAGCTTAATCGTTAGAGCATTCGCCTTGCAAGCGAGAGGACCTGGGTTTGATTCCAGGGCAGGGTGAAACATTTGGTAATAATAAGAATTATAATCCTTGCATTTGATATAGCGCCTTATCACGTCTTTGAGACGACTCAAGTTTCCTTACTCCACACGCCTCTGTTTCCTTGGCAGTAAGTAGGAACCCGGTTGTTAGTCGATTGGCGAATCGCTTTTCCGGGGGTAATAAGCCCTTCAAAAAAAAAAAAATTTGGTCACTCAGTCCATGACTGTTTGTGGGAAACTGCTGTATGCAATTGGCTGCTGGGTTTTGCCCACAAAATATACAGTCAATTAATTCATTTACAGTATATTCTGTGAATTGCTTTGAGACATCTCCAAGAAGCGATAAAATGAAAGGATTATTATTCATGACTTGCCGGTTCATTAAATGAACTTTCTGATTTCCAAGCATAGAATGGAACTTTACCTATTGTGCTTTAATTGACCGCAGATGACTTTCGCAGATAACTGCGCATAATGCTCGCAATCCTTTTTTTTTCTGCTTTGCATCAATTATTAATGTTGGGACAACACACTGCAGTGTGTTACAGTGCTGTAATATGTCAAGGAGTTAAAAGGACACCTTGACCCAACTGGCTTCTCATTGTTATCTGAACCCCAAAGTGTTTTACATCTTTGCAATTGCATATGGTTTGAGATGTATTTTCATTTATCTTTTTCAAATTATTATGTTATACTGTACTATAATTGGAATCTATGTTTAAGGGTCACTTGGAACTGACTAGATCACGGTTACATGTAGGACAGTGAGAGTGAAATGTTTAACGCATTAACGCCAGCAATAACCCAAGGGGATTACAGAGGAATAGGTCTGTGGGAAGAAGTGAATAAAGTACTCAGCTTTGCAAAATAGTTACCCTGTTAATATAATTGACCACCGAGAGAATCCAAGCCATTACCAGATTACTGCGGAGTCCTGTGGCGTAGTGCTAGCGCACTCCCCTCGCAAGCGAGAAGACCCGGGTTCGAATCCCGGGCGGCGTAAAAACTTTAGGCAAGTTTCCTTGCCCCACACACGTGCCTCGGTTTACCCAGCAGTAAATAGGAACCGATTGTCAATTAGCGGATCGCTCTCCAGGGGTAATAATACCTCCAAAAAATTGGTCACTCAATCCACGACTTTTTGTGGGACACTGCTGTGTGCAATTGGCTGACTTGTTTCACCCACAAATACACAGGCAATTCACTTCACAATATATTCTGTGGAGCGTCTCAGTAACACTATAATAATACTAATCCTTGCACTTGATGTAGCGCATTATTATTATTATTATTATTATTATTAACACACCACCAAAGTTGAAACGGTTACCAGAGGACTGAGATGATTGGAGGCATAATGGTTCTATTATGTGGAGCCTGGGGTGGGGAGATGGAGCAGAAAAGCTAGTTTTGAGTACGGTTCACAACCCTAATCATAGTTAAAAAAAGAGCATGACAAAACTGAAAACATACGATTTAAAAATTAAAAAAAAACCCTGACACATTTGCACTTTTCTTGGCTAGGTAAAGAAAAATTCAGATTTAGTGCTAGCAATCAGTGTTTTGCTAACTCGCCGAAGGGTTTTGCTCCTTTATTTAACTTGCATTCATAGACTGGCTTTTCTCAGAACTAGCTTTCTTCTGAATTCTCTTGATTTGCCTTCTCCACAGCTGTTAACAAACAAACCGAAGATTTTTTTTGTGTGTGTTGTCAGTGTTGAAATGCAACTTGTTGGAAGCCTGGAGGAATAGTAAGTGAAGTGCATGAATAGCTATGCCACATTTCAGCATAGGTTTCGACTCATTACAGCCCATATAGTGTTCAAGATGCAGTGTACAAAATTATGAGAGGTCAGTAACCCAGATTTAAGATAATTGTCAAAAAAAAAGGAGACGAGGAGCCTTTTTTTTTTACCCAGAGAGTTGTCACCATCTGCAATGAAAGGCTTGTGGAAGCTGATTCGATACGTTTCAAAAGGGAATTGGATATATACAGTACTTGAAAAGGAAAAAAATTGTAAGGCCGTGGGGAAGTGCAATGTTTAATTCGGTTTGATCTTCGAGTTGTATGCAGTTTGTGTCTATGATGCTAACGTGTCTCAATATCGTCTGCCTAGGAACAAATGATGCGCAAGAAACAGGCCATGCACTTAGATGCCCGCTATGTTACCATGGTGGAAAATGCTTACTACTACTGCAATCCCCCGCCTGTGGAGAAAACGGTGAGGAAGAAACGGCCTCCCCTTCAGGAATACATCCGCAAGCTTCTGTACAAAGACTTGTCCAAAGTCACCACAGAAAAGGTAACTTCTAAATCGTTTAAAGTACTCGCTCGCTTAACCTTCCCCCCCCCGAGGAAGTATAGTGCCTTCTATCAGAGCTCTGCTTCACTCAGTCAGCTTCCCGTGCTAAATAGTGGCTGACTTGGTCACCACTCATGTCACTTCAGCGCTGGAAGCGCTGCTGAACATCACTGTAAAGAAAGTGATGTCAGCAGCAGCACTACTTTGACTTAGTGTGCAGGATGTGACATCAGCCGTGACCTGATAGTCCTGAAGGTTTTTTTTAAGCAATTCTTGTTTGATAAGTCGTTGGATCCAGCCAATAAGACATTGGATCTGCAATGAGCTTCCCCTGTATACCGTTTCTGTCCTACTAAATGTAAGTAAAGCCGTACTGCAGTGTGCATTTACTAAAACTCTCCCTCTTGATCCAGGTGTTGAGACAGATGAGGAAGTTGGCCTGGCAGGACCCAGAAGTGAAGGAGTACGTTATTAACTGTATGATCAACATCTGGAATGTGAAATACAACAGCATCCACTGCGTGGCTAACCTGCTGGCAGGATTGGTGCCCTATCAGGAAGACGTGGGAATTCACGTGGTGGATGGAGTGCTGGAGGACATCCGACTGGGAATGGAGGTGATGTAATCCACAACAGCTTGCAATTACGTAGCGCCCTTCACGCCGGGCAGTGTCTCGGAGCACTTAACGGTGGCGGAGCCTGACGCCGGGGAGAGGGAGGAGGAGACCGTAAGCCCGATCAAAGAAGAAAGTCTTCAGGCGTTATCTACAAGTGAGGAAGGAGGGAGCAAGGCGGAGGGATTGGAGAGAGAGTACCAAAGCTTTGTGATGTAGCGGTTTAAAGCGTTGATGGTGGAGAGTGAGGGGACGAGGGACAAGCAGGAGGTCGAAGCTAGCCGAGCGCCTTATTTGCTCACCGTGCCCAGAGCAGTGTGAGGCAGCAATGAAAGAGGCAAACAACAACAACAACAACAACAACAAGATTCCATTTATAAAGCGCCTTTCACGTCAGGAGGACGTCCCAAACGAGAGGCTTTTGGCTATATCGGCAAATCAGTTGAGCTCAGATCCCCAAAAGTCGTGCTCAGAAGTGTACAGCACTCTGGTCAGGACCCAGGGTACAGGGTACAGAATGCAGCCGAGCTACTGCGCCCGCGTGACCTCCCGCAAAAGCCACTCCATCCCTCTGACCGAGACTGTTAATTTAGTGCAAAATGTAAGTGCGGCATTTTTATGGGTCTTCGCAAAGGAAGCTGGGTTAGACTGCCCAAACCCCGTCTCACATCGAGCACCTCGCAGCCAACGGCACGGCTCGTCCTCGACTCTGGATTTCCAGCTCTTTCGACACGGCGCTGACGTCTTAACGAGTTCTCTTCTCTTTTTACCTTTTCAGGTCAACCAGCCCAAATTTAACCAGCGGCGTATAAGCAGCGTGAAGTTCCTGGGGGAGCTGTACAATTATAGAATGGTGGAGTCGGCGGTCATCTTCCGAATTCTTTATTCCTTCATCACGTTCGGCGTGAGCACGGACGGCAGCGCAACACCTCTGGACCCCCCGGAACACTTATTCCGAATCCGTCTGGTCTGCACCTTGCTGGACACTTGCGGACAGTATTTTGATCGAGGGTCCAGCAAACGCAAGCTGGACTGTTTCCTTGTATATTTTCAGGTTGGTTCATATTTTTTTTTTGCAAGCACACGTCCGTTTAGAACTTTTTAACCAAAGTTTATTTTCTTTTGGTTTATTTTTTGAACCTTTTCCCAACAACAACAACAACTTGTATTTCTATAGCGCCCCTCATGCAAGGTAGCGTCCCAGAGCGCTTTGAGAGTGGCGGAGCCCGTACAAAATGTACAGTCAACTAATTTTACGGTATGTTCTGTGAAGCGCTTTGAGACGTCTCGAAGCCATGGTCAAGTACTGTATCAAGATAAAATGCAATTTATGTTGATTTGGACACCTTCACGATGGAAGGATGTCTCAAAACTCTTCACACAGCTGACTGGGCGCCCAAGCTGGGGTGGTGTAGAGGGCAGCTGAGCAGGGTTAGGGTGGTGAGGAGGGAAAGATGACCGAAAGCGTGGTCAAAGAGATCTGAGCGATGGCTCAATCTTCAGCTGCTCAATGGACGCCGAGAGCGGTTTGTTCTTGTCCTCCATCGCATTGTCTTTGGCTTTGATTTCTTCGATTTCAGGATTCGCTCGTCTTCAAATCCTTTCACGACCTGGCGCCTCCTTACTTCTCCGACCTGCTCAGCACCCCCCCCCCCCCACAACCCACTACCTATTGCCTCCCTGTTTGAGGGGCGCTGAAGAAATGCAAGTTGTTGTTGTTTGATACAAAGTTACTTAACATTTAGTGAATTTAAAAGAAAAAAAAGTCAGAAGGCGTATTAAAACTTCATGTGTTTCTGCACTTGAAGCGTTACATCTGGTGGAAAAAGACTTTAGCGGTGTGGACAAAGGACCACCCCTTCCCAATCGACGTTGACTACATGATCAGCGACATCCTCGAGCTCCTCCGACCGAAGATGAAGTTCTGCAGCTCCACCGAGGATGCCCTCAAGCAGGTTCAAGAGCTTGAGCGGGAATTCCTGATCAAACTGGGTAAGTAAGGGCAGGACGGTCTGTCACATTGTCTTTACAGGCTGAAGCTGGATCAATTCAATGTGGAGTCCTGCATCTCAGTGGTTAGCGCGCTCAGCCCGCAAGCGAGAGGATGTATGTTCAATTCCCGGGCAGGCCAAAATGTTAGGCAAGTTTCCTCAATCTACACGCCTCTGTTTACTATCATCTGCCCCACCAAACCAGGAGCATTCACGTGCCAGCGTCTAACGACATATCTATCCACCTAATATTGAATCCAAAAATGATTCTGTTTACCTAGCAGTAAGTAGGAACCCGGTTGTTAGTCGATTTTCTGGGGGGTAATAATCCCTTCACAATTTTTGTTGTTGATAATAATAATGATAATGATAATTAGGTCATTCAATCCACGACTGCACGCCTACCACATTGACCTAAATTTACTTGTGCCTGGGACGTTGTGTGGGTGGGTAGTGTGTGTGTGTGTGTCACTTTCATTTTTGGATTCAATATTAGGTGGATAGATATGTGGTTAGACGCTGTCATGTTTATGCTCCTGGTTTGGTGGGGCAGTTGATAGTGTTCAGAGTTTTAAACCAAAGACTATTTCTGGGAAGTGATGTGATACCTGGCAGGCAGGTATTGCTTGGTGATTTGATTGACATATTGCAGTTTCTCAGACGATGTCGCAGGAGCTCCTGTTTCCCAACTGAGGTGTGTGTGTAGGAGAGAGATTCTTCAACTAAAGGTCTTTTGTTGCAGTGGCTGGCAAGCGTGTCGCTAAACTAGGCTTGTATCTTAAGATCAAATTGAATTTACAGCATTGGCTCCAGATACATCCGACACTCCAGAGATTGTTGTCTCGCGACAATGTTCTAGGTTGTGAGGTTTTTGCTCATCATTTGGTTTGTCGAGTATCCAAGCAGCTTTTATCTGATTTCGCCGTGCTTTGAATTACTGCCTTTCATTTTTCAGTGCGATGGAAAAGAACAATAACTTCCTGAAGGAACTGATTTCAGGGTCTAGTTTGCCTAGCTAGTCAATAAAAACTGTATTAGTTACCTCACATGGCCAGCGCTTGTAGGTCTGAGGAAAATCATTGCTACTTTCTGTCTGTTTCTCCTATAAACATTCCTATCAATTCCACCTCTCACAGCTTTCTGGGGTCAAGCATTCAATACCTTCACCAACCCCTACGTGAAGAAATGCTTCTAAGTTGGCAGACTGCTACGAATCCAGAAAATCTCCTGTCGCCCTGGGCTGACCAGTTCAGCAATGCAATTTGAGCTCGCTCGCAATTTAAAAACACTTTGGAGGGGTATAGGAGAGGTGGAGACACCTTGTCGAGAAATGTTGTCGAACCCAGATTTGTGGCTCATGAACAACAGTGTGAACCACAACAGTCGAAAATGAACCGAGTCACAGAATTTCATTTATAAGCATGTCATACTTTGTTAAAACAAAGTTGCAGGCATGTTAAGCAACAATGGTGTGAGTACGTCATATAAAGATGTATCATACAAAGGTGCACGTTACCTAGTTTGGTAACGTGCATGGCATAAACATCATGGCCAGAATCAGCCTCATCTCGCGACCAATAAATCTTGAAACGTGTGTCAAAACAATGGTCAGCAACAACAAAATAATCTATAGTCGCCTGTGTTTGTTTGTGTGTGTGTGTTTGTGTTTCTCTTCTTATCTGTTCAACCAGAGCCAGATGTGAGTGATTGATTGAGTCATTCTGGGAGAAATAAAGGGACTCCCGCCCCCCCCCCCCCCCCCCCCACCCCGACGTCAAACGTTTGACCTTTTTCTCCTGGTTTATATTTGCTCCTCATCCAAAATTTGCCCTTCCAAGTCCTGCTGATGAGCCAGGCCGGGCCGCGGTGCTGTCACCAGCAGTGCCCTGGAATACTGTGGACTCGCCTGGCTCAGGAACCGGACGAGGGATCATCACAAAGGCTGGCTCGATTCCCGCATTCTGCTGTCGAACACGTCACCTTGGAGCCAGTTCAACTCCGAGGAGACCTCGCTTAACAACCCCCCCCCCCCACCGCCCCCTCCCGCCCGGAGGATAGCATCCAAAATATTTGTCCAAAATACACCCCCGAAACGTCAAGTAAATGTATTAGTCATCTCATTGTTTTGTGGAACGATTGCTGGCGCAAAATGTGTTTGTCTCCAACATTCATGTCACTTCTAATTAACCTCACTCTGTGAAGCACCTTGAGGTGTTTGGTTTGCGTGCAAGACACTCTGCAAATGAAACTGTTTGAACTTCACTCAAGGCCATCTGATAAGCACGTCTCTTTGGTTCACTGAATCGCCCTCTAAAAATTTCTTGTGATGCACCGTGTGGTTTTTCTCACTTTTAACACGTTTTGGCGATTACTTGAAAAAACATTTTTTTCCCCCAAGAGACACTCAGTTGTCAGACGTCACCGACTTGTGCTCTCTGTCTCTCCGCTTGAGACAAAGTTGTAAAGTTTCAAGAAAAGCAGCATGTTTTAAGGTTCTCTGTATACCCTGTGGGAGGCTGTTCTGGGTTGTGTAACATTTTCTTCATTCCTGACTTGTGCAAAAATGTATGTTATGTTGTGCAGTGGCAGATCAGATAAATACCCAAAGCTGTGAACGTTTTGCTTGCTCGATTTGCTGATCAGTTTCTTATTATTCATCAGTTTTTAATTCAGGCTCAAGGCTGTTAAGGGACAAGTTAATAATAATCCACGTATTTGATATAGCGCCTTATCCTGTCGTTGAGAGCTTGCCGTCGAGAGCAGTGTCTGGCAAGCTTTCCCGCTGCTAACCCAGCAAGGACCACAAGGACTGTTAGGGCTTTGGCTTGTAGAGTTAACAGGAGCTGAGTGAGAGGATTCCCTGGATCCAATGACTGGTCTGCCCTTCCAAGTCCTGTCGATGGGCTGTGCTGTCGTCAGCAGTGTCCTGGAGCTGCGGACCCGCCTGGCTCAGGAACTGAATTGCCGAGACCGCCACAGAGGGTTGGCTCAAATCTGTCGCCAAACATGTCACCTTGAGACCCTGCTTACCTCCCCCGCAAGAGGATAGACCTGTTAAACCAGTTAGACTCTACCTAACTCATTTTAAAAAAAACTTGATGCTCTCCCCAGCATGTTCCACACAATCATTAACCCCATCCTTGTTGGGTTCCATCGGCTACGAGTACACCCTGAATTGGTTTCACGACTCTTGCCCTGATCTTCAAACCTCTTCACATTTCGTGTCTTTACTCCTGGTTCTTTGTACTCTGGTGAATCATTCGTTCCTGACCCCCGCCATCTCTGGCTAGACCTTAAGCTTCTCTGCCCCTGTTCTCTGATCTCCCAAAACCACATTCACTTTGTGCCTTCAAAAAAACCTTCTTATAAGTGAAGTCCTAATTTAGCGTATCGGTTAGAACGCTCGTCTCGCAAGCGAGAGGACCCGGGTCCAATTCCCAGGTCAGGTGAAACCTTAGGCAAGTTTTCTTGCTCCACACGCCTCCGTTTAACTAGCAGTAAATAGGAACTCGAATGTTAGTCGACTAGCGGATCGCTTTCCGTAGGAAACAATCCCTCAAAATATATATCCACAACTGTTTGTGAGACACGGCTGTGGGCAATTGGCTGTGTTCAGAAATTTCTTTTAATTAAAGTTGCTAACCCAATTCTATACATAGTTTACTGGCCTGTAATCTAATCCGATATTTCCCTTTAATCGATTTGATGCAATTTTGTTGAACCAAAGCTGTTGGGTCTGTTTTGACGGCTACGTGACCATACACAGGTTGCCTTGTTGTTTGGGCTGTGCCTTGGCATCCACACACTGAATGTTAAACTCTTAAATGGCATGTGATTTTCCTGCTTGCATGATATGTTTCTCTCTCTGGGTCTGTAAAGTAATTGGACAAAGAAGTGTAGTAGTAAAAAGCATGAGTGAGATAATGGTTTTCACTCAGATCTTCATCGCAGTTTAAAGGCTCCCCTGTCTGGGTGGGGTTGCGTTACAAAGACAAGGAGGTAATTAGACTTGTGGCTGTGGATTTTATTTTGGTTTTTAAATCCACTGGGGAATCTAGCCCCAAGGTGTTGCCAAAGAGATGAAGTTCTCTTTGGCAACACCTTGGGGGCATTTTAAGAGGTTTTTGAATTTTTTATTTGCTCTTTGTATCTGAAAGCAGGTAGCAGCTTCCCCTTCATTGTTCTCAGCCATTTGTAATGAATAATAATAATAATAATAATCCTTGCATTCGATACTCCTCAAAGCGCTTCATATAATATATTATAAAATGGATTGACTGTGGGCCAAACACAGTAGCCAATTGCGCACAGCAGTGTCCCACAAACAGTCGTGGAGTGAGTGACTCCTTTTGATGAATTATTACCCGGAGAAGCGATCCGCCAATCGACTAACAACTGGGTTCCTACTTAACGCTCGGTAATCAGAGGCGTGTGTGCGGATTAAGGAAATTTACCTAAGGTTTTGCCCTGCCCAGGAATCAAAACCAGGCCCTCTTGCTTATAAGGCGAGCGCTCTAACCACTACACTACCGGAACTAAGTAAAAGAGTTAGATGTGAAACAGGTTTTTGTTTTTTAAAAAAAAGAGAGGAAGAAAAGTAAATAACCGAGTCTGGTTTGTTTTGGGACAGGGCTCGTCATCGATGGGAAGGAATCCAAGTCGGAAAAGCTCTCCCATATCGGAGAAGGGGAGGAAAACCAAGATGACGATGATGACGAAGAGGAAGAGGAAGGCGGAGGAGGAGAGACGGAGGAGCAGTCCGGCAACGAGAGTGAAATGAACGAGCATGAAGAAGAGGTGGGGTGTTTAAAGGAGTGATGTGATGTTTTTTTTGGTCTTTAGGATGTCTGATACACGTGGATGGATAATAATAATCTTTGCATTTGATATAACGCCTTACCACGTCATCGAGACGTCTCAAAGTGCTTCACAGAATATACTGTAGAGTGATTATGAATTTTGTGGGCGAAATGACCATACAAGCACATATATATGCCACCGTTGTCTGAAATGGAATTCGCCCTCTCACTCTCATCTCTTTTTACTTTACTCATTGAGCACTTTTGAGACATCCTCTCAATGTGTAAGGCACTATATAAATATCAATTGTATTGTTATAGATTCATATCTTTTCTTTTTATCACCTGCAGACAATGGAAACTACAAAAAAAAACTTGTAAATTAGTTCTTGGAGAACTTACGATGTGTGTGGTTCGAAAGATTAGTCTTCATGGGAAGAATATGAGAGGTATTGTCTTGCCAGCCAGGCAGGACAGAAAGTGCATGATGCTGATGGGAGGCAAACTACAGTCATTCTGTTACAGTCATAATCCTTCAGCCCCTCCCCACTCCAAAAATTAATAATAGTAATTTGGTCACTCAATCCATGACTGTTTATGGGTCACTTCTGTGTGCAATTGGCTGCCGCGTTTCGCCCACAAAACGCGCAGTCAGTCCACTTTACAGTATATTCTGTGAAGCGCTTTGAGACGTCTCGAAGACTTGATATGGCGCTGTATCAAATGCAAGGATTATTATTATTATGGATGCTTTTGGATCTATCACAGTAGCCGTTTCATACACGGCAGTTTAGAAGCATAGTCTTTCCGTAAATCTTTCTTTGCTAATCGGGGAAGGTGGTTATTCTTATTCTTCGTAATAAATGAGAAACGGCTATTATTTTTGTAAGGATGCTTCTGAGAACGAGGAGGAAGAGGAGGAGGAGGAGGAAGAGAATACCGATTATATGACCGACTCCAATAAAGAAAATGAAACCGATGAAGATAATAACGTAAGTTTACAACGTCGCTACATTTGACGGCAATTCCCTTTGAAGCTCTTTTGAGTCCTTTCAACTTTATGGAGTGAGCGACCTATTTTATCTGGGGGATTTGTTGGCCAGGACGCCGGGAGAGAAAGAAAGAGAGAGCGAGAGGAACTCCCTTCTCTTCGAATAGGAAACATCTACCTGAACAGGACACAGGCGAGGAGTGAGGTTTAACATATATTTGCAGACAAATGCACGCGGCCAGTTTGCGCGTATCAACGGTCCCAAAACCGGCCATGACGCGAACGACCAATTTTATCGGCTCCAGGTGAAACTCGTATTCGCTCACCGGGTCGATCCAAACAGTCAGGAGCGAACACTGAGTGTTCTGTTGTGATGTACAAGGTGCACATTCCTGCCTGTACTTGCCCACTGGCATCAGTGTGAGCAATCTAAGCTGTTAAAGGAAGCCAAAGCGATACTCCTGCACAAGAGGGCAGTAGAGACATCAGAGAAAGCTCAGGTGGCTGTTGGCAGACAAACAGGAAGCTTTTCACTGTGACCGACCCGATATGATTGAGGAATTTCGATCGGCGTAAACAGGGTATAGTTTGTCAAGATAAAGCAGGTATTCAGCAGTCGAAAATGGCAGACAATGTTATCAGCTTTTTTTTGGGGGGCACCAGAAGAACGTTGTATTCTTTGAGACTGAGGCGTGCAGTATTTCCCGGTTGATTTGAGTATTTGCTGTGATTCAATGCACGTCTTCCATCAAGGAATTTTTTTTTTTTTGCCCAGCCGGGAGTCCTGGCACAAGCGAAAACCCATCACCGTTGCTTAAGAGTCTAAAAACCAAGCTGAGAATTCCATGCATCCCACCTACACATGGAAGTCCCAGCGATAGATTGTTGGAATGGAATGTGCACACTCTCCCTGGAGGGATGCATCCCGTTACCTAATTCCGGAAAGTATTAGGGCCCAGGCAAGGCTTGGGGGGATCCCAGAGTGTACGTTGGGGGTAACTGCTGGAGTCTAACCAGCTAAAACTGCATAGCTCGGCATTGATAGCGCTGTCTGGCAAACTGTCCCGCCGCTTGTCCAGCTAGGACCACCCTCCCCGTTAGTTAGGGCTTTGGCTGTGGGGTTAACAGGAGCTGAGGGAGAGGATTCCCTGCCCCAGTGTCTGGTCGTCCCTTCCAGGTCCAGCCGATAGGCCAGACTGTGCTGCCGTCAGCAGTGAATGCCCTGGGATACTGCGGCCCCACCTGGCTTAGGATTCAGGAACTTGATTCCACAGTAAAATCACGGACGCAGACAGTTGAATTCATGGCTTTGCTACTCGTCACCCAAGGATATTGATCGCTTGCCATTGATTGAACCGCTGCTATAAAGGGCAATGATTAGGAACACCTAGAAGTGAATTTCAGATGTCAACCTTACTCGGCTTGTAGTATTTTTGTATCTGTCTGTGTTGCTGTTTCCAAGGTAAATATATGATTGAGGTAGTCAACATGGATGCCATTGTGGTTCAGCAAGTGACTCTACCTCTAGGGCACAAAGACATTTTACCAAGCCCCCTCCTCTCCCCTTCGTCTGCCTGTTCAGATGACATGAAAGATCCCATAGCACTATTTGAGGCTGTATGTGGGACGTTGCTTTGTCCAAATCGGCTGGCAGGTTCACCTACAAATGCTGACACTGTAAAATTGCTGCAAAGCTCTTTGAGTTTTCCTCCTGACATGAAAGGCCTTATTTCAAACCATTATTTCGGATTAGCCGGGTTTATAGAATCATGAAATCTTACAGCACAGAAAGAGGCCATTCAGCCCTTCGTGCCAGTGTCGGCTCTTTGAAAGAGCTGAGCTGTTCAACTAGTCTCACTCGGCCGCTCTTAACCCCATAGCTCTGCATTTTTTTCCTTTTCAAGTACATATCCAATGCCCTTTTGAAAGCCATTATCGGATTTTGGTTCCACCACCCTTTCAGGCAGTGCATTCCAGATCGTAACAACTCTCTGGGTTCCTTTATTTAGAGAAAAGATGAATAGACAGTAAATGTGTTTTCTTGTCTCTTGGTGCAGGAGGTAATGATGAAGGGTGGAGGGCTCAAGCGGCTGCCTTGTGCCGAAGATGAAGAATTTATTCAGGCTTTGGATAAAATGATGCTTGAAAATCTGCAGGTAACGTTTAAATGTCAAAAAATGTTATCGGGTGATGCCAAATTTTCCCCAAGTGGCGCCAAATTTTCCCCAAATGGGGCCAAATTTTCTCCAAATGGCTCCAAATCAGCATCACATCAAAATTGTTCCTCCAAATTGCGTGCACATGTGAAAGTTTTTTTTTGTTGTGTATTGTACGTACGATCTCCTGACTAAATGAAAACGGCTGCTTGCACGACTGGATTGCGACGTAAAGAGGATATCTTTTTTTTTAGTAACATGAGAAATTGCTGGCTCAGAGATGCAGGTCTTACGTTCCAGTCCCTACAATTTAACCAATTGCATTGCTTTGCCTGGGCTACATGTGAGGCGTCCTTTTCTATAGACCTCATTTAACTGAAGCTCAAGAAAAGTAATTATTGAGGAGGCTGAGTCGATGTCATAACATCAGTCGCTTGCAGATATGTTTTCTAAGTGGCTTTCTTTGATGCTTTTATTTCACATGAAAGATGCTGTGTGAATGCAATCGGTGGTGAGCATAGAATTCCAGCACCCTTTCACAACTCCACTCTAAAATCACAGCTGGCTGCCTTTTGGGTTCACAATTGACGGGACTTATGTAAACAGGTGGGAACGACTCAAACCGAGTTGCCAATAGTAATTTATTCCATGTGAATATTCTAAACGGAGAAAGGTGATCCAGTTTTATTTTTATTTTATTTAGTTCTTTCATTTTATTTTGCCTTCTTTCCTCCTGTATTTGTTCACTGATGCCCCGGTTCACAATACACAAATTCACGACAAAGTGCGGGGCCACTGAGCTACTGAAGGAATAGTCGTTACAGTCTTCAACAACACTTCAGCAGTTTCCAGCATGTTAGGGTAGATCCGAAAGCAACAACAATTGACATTTACACAGCGCCTTTCACGTCGGGAGGACGTCTCAAGGCCCTGGAGAGTCAGGGATTTGGACCCGAGAAGGGATTTGGGATCAGGAGGGGTGGAGGCCCAGGTGGGTAGGGGGTAGGAGGGTGACCGAAGGCGCAGTCGAAGAGGAGACGAGGGAGGGGGCGAGGCTAAGGGATTGTGGCATGGAGTTCCAGAGGGTGGGGGCAGAGAGGCTGAAAGCCTGACCGCTGAAGTTGTGGTGGGCCGGGCAGGGGCTTGGAGCAGGCCGGAGCCCACTGAGCGGAGGAAGCAGGAGCGAGATGGCAGTCGAACTAAAATTGGAAACATCATACTAGTCTTACTTCTGAAGTACATTGCCCGGCTGTAGGTAGATGTACATGGTTGGCCTTTTGCAGGCTTGGGAGGCTGAGCTCCTCAAGCTGTGGCCACTCGGCTCAATCAGTTTCTGTTGGTGTTTATACTCCACACAAGTCTTCACTGATTCCTCACTCCCTCCCACACCCTTCTGTTCCCCTCTCCCTCATGTGAAAGTCTACCTTTCTCTTGAATGCAAATTCTGTTGGAACAAATGAAACAATAGTAATGGAAGCAAAGCACATTGGTTTCAACTTTGTAGTCTCGATGTTGCTCAGTCAAGTCAAGTCACGTATCTTTCTTGTTTCTATCTCATGATATGCGACGATGGAATGAAACATTGAACATTTTGATGAGGTAGAGCCTTGTTATAACACATGATTGGGATCCTGAAAGCTATAGCGAGTCGCCATAGCTGGTTTCACTGTGAATAGTCGACCAGCTTGCTTTTTTTTAAAAAGAAAAGTGCCAACTTCCTGTCATTGGATCGCTGCCAATGTCAATCTCTGCTTTGCATAGGAGCAGTAAATAGTAAGCGGTGTTGGCCGTGACCTAATGACCCAGATGTTAGCCATTTTAGTGCAAAACCCCAATGGGCCAGGGATGTGATCGAAACCTATATTTAATGGATTGTGGGGGAAGGAACTTAGTTTGTTGTTTTGCCAATTGTAAGTGGGATAAAAGTTATGATAACGCCTTGGATTGAGTAATGTCTTACATGATTTTTGTGTCATAATTATAGCTTGAATGCCTTGTTCATTACCCTTGAATGAATATCAAGCATGCAGATATTTTGATCCAATATCATTGCACAATTAATCTTAAGGGGGAAATTGTGTGTGTGTGTTCTATCAAATCCGTGGTCATAAGTAGATCCGTTCCGACCATCCTGTGAGACATGGATAGTTAGTTTGCCTATGAAGAGTGTTGGAACCATAGCAATTACAGCACAGAAGAAGGCCATTAGGTCCATCCTATCTATGCTGGCTCTTGTAAAGAGCAATCGTTCCAGTCACATTTGCCTACCGACCCCCCCCCACCACCCCCACCCCCATATCGCTTGCTTCATTCAAGGCCCATCTCAAAACCCTCCTCTTAGACCTCGCCTTCGACCACCCTCCTACCCCTACCATCCTAGCCCTCCACCCTTCCTGAGCCTGACCCCCCCCCCCAGTTTGGATCGAAATCCCTGACTGTGCAGTGCCTTGAGAAGACTTCCCGACGTGAAAGGCGCCGCGTAAATGTCATTTGTTGTTGTTGTTGTTGCATCCTCACTGACTGCGGAAAGAGGTTACAGCAACAACAAAATTACATTTGTATAGCGCCTTTCACGTCGGGAGGACATCCCAAGACTCTGGATTATTAATACGGTTATTAATAAGTGCGAAATTGAATGTAATTTACAGAAGTGCCTGATGGATTACGATGCTAGGGCAGGGATTACAGTCTTCCCTCTCCCTCGACGATTGTGTCACCATCTGCAGAGGTAACAACCAAAATCATTGCTTCTTGTTGTACAGCAGCGGAGCGGTGAGTCGGTCAAGGTGCACCAGCTGGACGTAGCCATTCCCCTGCAGCTGAAGAGCCAGCTGAAGAAAGGCCCCCCACCTCCAGGAGGGGGAGAGGGGGATTCCGAAACCTCGGAGACCATGCAGTTCGTGATGCTGACCAGGAAGGGCAACAAGCAGCAGGTACTGTCAGCGCGGGCAGCGTCTCAGAGCGCTTAACAGTGGCTGAGCCGGGGGGTGGGGAGGGAGAGTGGGGGGAGGTGAACGTAAATAGGGTCGCAAAGGAAGATTTTTCAGGTGACTTGAAAAAGGGAGAGAGAGGGAGCAAGGCGGAGGGATTGAGGGAGAGAGAGGCAGAGGCAGGGCAACAGCGAGAGAAATGTTTCACACAAAGCTCTGGGGTGCTACCCCATTTGAAGGGCACTATATAAATGCAAGCTGTTGGTAGTATTGTAGCTCTGATATGATATAATAATCCTTACATTTGGTATAGTGCGCCTTCATGCCAGATCGACGCACAGGATATAATAATAATACTCGCATTTGATACAGCACCTTATCACGTCTTCGAGACGTCTCAAAGCGCTTCACAGAATATACTGTAAAGTGAATTGACTGTGTATTTTGTGGGCGAAACAGTAACTATCTTTGGCAAAGCTTTTGAGACATTTCAACGCAATAAAGGATCCTGACAATTTTAAGCTATTTTTTTTCTTATAGAAAGGTACACACAAGCAGAAAAAGAACAGCTTAAATGCCTTTCATCGAGTCACTCACTCCTAATCCTCTCCCCTTCCACACCCCTCTCCATCTTTGTATAAGGGGAAAAGCTCCTCGGGTAGCAATTCTTAACAACAAAAAAAGGTTGTGTGAATCATTGAGTGAAGGTTCAGGTGGCACGACCTCTTTACACCCAGGATAAACCAAAGCAGTGTTTTATATTTTCTGTATTGGGTGGAACCGTAACAAAGAAAAGTATGTCGTTTAATTTGCGCTTGAGGTTTTGCAGTTAGTGAAGCCGGGCTGTGTTCTGACTGACAGACCTTTCACTATTTTCTGAGAGGGTGGGTTCTCTCTGGTGAAAAAATATGTACATTCCTGTGAAAACACAGGTTCTTCTAGATCGGCAAATGGCAAGCCTCTTGAGGTATGCGAAGGTGCTTAATAACTTTGAACCCGACAGAACAAGGGTGGGTTTGTCAGTGGAGGGAAAGGCTCTCACAATTTATTTTACTTCTGCTTCTCGCTCGCCACTGGAAAATAAGGACTGCTTCTTGGGTTTTACTGTGGAAAATGCAATATAAAACCCAGCCCCACGAAAGAGGACACAGTGGAGTGTTTGCTTTCCATGGTGTTAGTGTTAATGATGCTGTGCCAGATGGCAACATTAGATACACAGTCAATCCACTTTACAGTGTATTCCGTGAAGCGCTTTGGTTTGATTCCCGGGCCAGTCAGGGCAAAACCTTAGGCACGTTTCCTTACTCCCCACACACGCCACTGTTTACCTCGCTACAAGTAGGAATCCGGTTGTTGGTCGATTGGCAGCTCGCTTTCTGGGGATCCCTTAAAAAATGATAATAATATATTGGTGACTTCAGTCCACGACTGTTTGTGGGACGCCACTGCTGCAATTGGCTGCCGCGTTTCCCCCACAAAATATACAGTCAATTCACTAAGTATGAACACAGTTGTTAGTCGATTGGCGGATTGCTTTCTTGGGGTAATAACCCCTTCAAAAAATAATAATAATTTGGTTTTGTCAATCCATGCATCCACAGTTGCACACTCCACCTCGCTAAGCCGGTTAGGAACCCAGGCCCTCGTATCCCCTCTGCCCTCCCTCATCCCAACTCTGCCCCCCCCCCATGATCGGGTCTGATCCCTGACTGTTCAGCGCCTTGGGACGTCCTCCCGACGTGAAAGGCGCTTTATAAATGTAGTTTTCTTCGTGTCGTTGATTGTGAGTGGGACGTTGCTGTGCACTGTTGGCTGCTACATTTTGCCCACAAAATACACAGTTGATTCACTTTACAATATATTCTATGAAGCGCTTTGAAATGTCTCGAAGACGTGATCAGGCTCTATATCAAATGCAAGGATTATTATTATTATTATTATTGAGATACTCGTTCTACACAGTGTTGGTTTTGTGTGGGCCAGCAGTGGATGAACTGCAGGTGGCCTCGGTACTTGTCAGCTCAGTGCTTTTGACTCACAGTGCGATGGAGAAATCCACCAGGAATTCTCCAGTTATTTTTATTCGAAGGCATTGTAGATCAAGTGTGTAGAGTTAGGATCAGACAAATACACACAACAGAGGAACAGAGGCTTACGGTTGAAGGAGCAAACACCAACAAGAAACAATGGACTGAATGGCCTACTGTGCCTTTAATAATAATAATAATAATAATAATCCTTACATTTGATATCACCTCTTCGAGACGTCTCAAAACCCTTCACAGAATATACTATAAAGTGAATCAACTGCATTATTTTCTATGGTTCTTGAAGACGAGTTCCATCCCCTTTCCCCCAAGGTTAAAGAACTGTTGTCAACACCCTACCTGCCAGTCCCTCAACCTTTGATATCAAACGTGGTGGGAGAATAGAATAAACTCTTGAAACTTGAATGCATTGGTTTTTTTTCCTTGTGGACACTAGATAGGGTATTAAAGGTTGGGTTATTGCTGGATTTCTGATGATTGTATTTATTTGCTCCGCTCAGTTTAAGATCCTGAATGTACCGATGAACTCCCAGCTCGCCGCAAACCACTGGAACCAGCAGCAGGCGGAGCAGGAGGAGAGAATGCGCATGAAGAAGCTAACGCTGGACATCAATGAGCGTCAGGAACAGGAAGATTATCAGGGTGAGTGGCTGGACGTGGAGCTCGGAAATGCAAACGGAGGCCTGTAGCTCAGTAGTCTCAGCGCTGTGCGCAATTGGCTGCCGCGTTTCGCCCACAAAACTGTACAGTCAGTTCACTTCACAGTATATTCTGTGAAGCGCTTTGAGACGTCTCAAAGACGTGATAAGGCGCTACATCAAATGCAAGGATTATTTATTTTTATTATTACAATAGGCTGCAACTTGATGCAGGTTTCATTTTATGGACGCTCAAACCATTGCCTCATAACAGGGTGTGACTGTATTGTGATCATGGTGATCAACGCGTTTCCTTTTGTTTTACATTGAAAGATATGTTTTCGTCATTTTATGTGGGAGGTGTATGTGAAAGGGGGGTGGGTAGGAAGGGAGAGAGAGAGAGAGAATAAAATGATCGATAAAGAGTTACTGCCAATCTTTGGAAGTCTGGAACCACAATGTAAGTAAATGGTATAAGTTGAGAGAATCGTTTGTGTCCCAAGAAAGGGGTTAATGGATTTTGCTGGGTTGAGATGCGGGAGGTCGTTGTGTAGCTTCAACTAAAGCCATTCATACCCTCCAGTCATGGGCGAAGAGCAGCAAACGTTGCATTTCGGGTTCTTGTTTTTGACTTCCGTGTGTGGCATCAAAAGCCATCAAGTAAGTCAGTTGCAGTCAGTTCAGTTCAATTCAGTCACGTCTCCTATTCTTCCTCTCCCTTAGAAAAAAAATGTTCCTTCTTCCACCCTTGCCCCATCCGGGGGTGTGGAAGAGCGCGCGATCTATTCCAATACACTGGAATTTCCACATGTAGTTGGGATGTCCGGGATTCTCAGTTTGGTTGAGAGACCCTTGAGGAACGGTGATGGGTTTCCTCACGGGTCACGACACCCTGCTGACCAAAACAAAACGGGGGTGGGGGAACAAGCTACATTTTTATTACTCGGCTAAATAATACTAATAGTAATTATAAGATCAATATCATGATAATAATCTTGCTTTTGGCAGAGGGCCCTTTGCGTTGGGAGGACGTCCCAAAGCCCTTCATGGGAGCGACTGGGAAGTAGAGTGACAACAACAGCGACAACTTGAGTTTATTTAGCACCCCTTATACAAGGTAGTGTCCCGGAGCACGTAGAGTGGCATACAGGAATAGGAGGGAGGAGGCCATTCAACCCCTCAAGCCTGTTCTGCCTTTCTATTCTATAAGATCTTGGGTGATCTGTACCTCAACACCAATTACCTGCCTTTGCCCCGTATCCCTTGATCCCCTGACCTCACAAACATCTGTCCACCTCAGTCTTGAAAATGTGGATGGATCCAGCCATAATCCACAGCCTTTTGGGGGGAGGGAGAGAGTTCCAGATTCCCACCACCCTTTGGGCTGAAAAACTGTCTCCTGATTTCACTCCTAAAAGGCTTATTAAACGACTGTATATTTCGTGAGCCAATAAATACTAAACACCGGGACCTTCCTTCTTCACAGAGATGTTACAGTCGTTGGCTCAGCGACCGGCTCCAGCGAACACCAATCGGGAGCGACGGCCTCGATACCAGCATCCTAAAGGAGCACCGAACGCTGATCTTATCTTCAAGACTGGGGGAAGGTAAGGCTGACTGTCAGTGAACGCGAGGGGCTCTTTTAAGATTCTGAAGGGAATAGATAACGTAGACCATGATACGCTGTTTTGTCTTGCGCTGAACAGTAGAACCAGAGGATACGGCCTGTGATTGAAGAGGGTGGGGGGTAGATTCGGAACAAATCTGCAGAAAAATAACAACTGGCGCTTATATAGCGCCCTCCACGCAGGGTAGTGACTCAGAGCGCTTAAAGAAACATTGCTCACTGCAGTGAGCGAGTAGCAAACGTATGGAACAGGCTCCCTGGGGAGACGGTGATAGCAGAAAATGGCATTTGTTTCAAGAACAAATGAGATAGATTTCCACTGGAAAATAATATCTGGGGATACAGTGTATAGTTTGGGGGCACGACATGTCAAGCGACAGCCAGGATGGTGGAAGGCGAACTCGATGGACCTTGGTCTTGTTTTGCCCAGCAATTTTTTTATGTTCTTGTAACATTACAGCAGTAATTTGACTTTCAAATGGCTTTGTTCCTTTGGTAAATAAAGCTCTTTTTGTTTTTGTGGTTTCACAAAGTGTTTAGGTTGAAAACTAAACAAAAGCAACCTGTCCCACGAGACTGGAATGTCCCTGGATGTGTTGACGGTGTAAGGGCAATGAGTTCCTTTGGTCGCATTAGGAAAGGCCAGGCTGCCTTGGGACCTTGACGTACACTTGGATCGTCTCGATAATAATAATCCTTGCATTTGATACAGCGCCTTATCAGGTCTTCGAGACGTCTCAAAGCGCTTCACAGAATATACTGTAAAGTGAATTGACTGTATATTTTGTGGGCGAAACACGGAGGCCAATTGCGCACAGCAGTGCCTCACAAACAGTTGTGGATTGAGTGACTCCATTATTATAATTTTTTTAAAAAGGGATAATTACACCCAGAAAACGATCCGCCAATCAACTAACAACCGGGTGCCTACTTACCGCTAGGTAAACAGGAGTAAGGAAACTTGCATAAGGTTTCGCCCCGCCAGGGAATCAAACCCAGGTCCTCGCGCTCGAAATAGTTTTGCTGAAGATTTTGGACGTCGCCTAGCTAGATTGTGTCTGAACAGGGAATCCATCTTAGTTAGTTGTGGTGCCTTATGCTCCAGTCTTAAAAGCACAAATGTATTGGGTGTGTGTCAGCCCACACACACACACACACACACACACACACACAATAGAGTGACTCTTTTTAGTCACCGGATCCACAGCTGTTCTCTTATGTCAGCAATGACTCCGGTTCGGAATCTCTGCAGCCGAGACTCGAATTGTCTTAAAATATAAAGCCGTTTCCGCCATGTGGGCGGGGATCCAAATCAAAGGATTGCTTTGACATTATTTATGCGGCGTGCCTTTAATCTGATCCCTTGCCTCACTAAAGATTCTGATCTGAATAAAAACATCCCTTGTCGATAGGTCTTAAGGAAGTTAGCGTATTTGTGCAAGTTTGCTTTTTGGCGCATTGTGCGTTCTCCAAACCAAACAAGCAAACTTAGACCCACCGGTTAGATTTGGCAACCGAACCATCAGAGGCCATTGTTCTGAAGTGCAGGATATCCATTCGGACTTTCGCAGAGAAATTCTATCGTCTTTAACGATTTTGTTGGGAAGAATTTTGGAGGCACAGCAGAGTCCTGTAGCTTAGTGGTTAGAGCGCTCGCTTCACGAGCGAGAGGACCTGGGTTCGATTCCCGGGCAGGTTGAAACATTAGCCAGGTTTTCTTATTCCACGTGCCTCTGTTTACCGAGCAGTAAGTAGGTTATCAGTCGATTGGCGGATTGCTTTTCCAGGGGTAATAATCCCTTTAAAAAATTTAAAATAAAGTAATTTGGTCACTCAATCCACGACTGTTTGTGGGGACGCTGCCGAGCGCAAATCGGCTGCTGCGTTTCATCCGCAAAGTATTCAGTCAATTCACTTTACGGTATATTCTGTGAAACGCTTTGAGACGTCTCGAAAACCTGATAACACTTTATATTAAATTTAAGGATTATTATTATCAATAGATATATTTACAGCGCGGACTAAGGCCATTTGGGTCTGATCTGGCTGGATCTTTCTGGTATTTTCTTTTGTTCGGTTTCTATTTTGAAGCTGAACAGCTTTGTTTACGTGGGCTGTGGAAATAGAAATCGCCCGAATGTGTGGAGGTATTGTTCTTCTTGTATCTTGTTACATGATTTGCAAGACATCAAAACTACCTTTAGAATCAATGAATGTTAAATAATATCCTTGCATTGGATACAGGACCTTTCACGTCTGGACACCTACAAGCGCTTCACAGGATATACTGTAAAGGGTGTAGCGTCTGTGCATTTTTACAGGCGGAACGCACCAGCTAATTTGCGCACAGCAATGTCCCATAAATAGCTGTGCTTAGATGTTTTCCTTTGAAGGAGGTTCCTTCTGGCCATCAGGTCTATGTTGTCTCTCTGAAAGAGCTATCCGTCGAGTCCCATTTTCCTGCCATTTCCCCCCGTACGTGATATTACAGAACAACTTATAATATTAATAATAATTCTTGCATTTAATACAGCGCCCTATCACGTTGTCAAGACGTCTCAAAGCAATTCACTTCAAAGTGGTGAGACTGTATTTTGGAGGGGATATGTGGCAGCTAATTGCGTACAGCACAGACTCGTGGATTGAGTGACCATATTATTATTATTTTTGGATGGATTATTACCCCCAGAAACTGAGTCGCCAGTTGACTGACAACCGGGTTCCTACTTACTGCTAGGTAAACAGAGGCACGTGGAGTAAGGAACCTTTTTGCCCTGCTGGGGAATCGAACCCAGATTGCCTCGCTTGTGAAGCGAGTGCTGTCACCACTGAGCTACAGGACTCCGTGGAACTTGCATTTATGTAGCATCCTTCACAGAGGGTAGTGTCTCAGAGCGATGCGAAAAGGTATTGGGATGAGCAGGAAAGTGGGAATAGATCAGGGGCTAAAATCAGACAGAGTTTCCATTCACTCCTGATCACTGGGACCTCAGTCGGAATGTGTATGTGTTGGACATTGGGAGAAGGACAGGTGACTTGTGTGAGTTTCCTCATCAGTCTCGATGTACTGCACCATTGGAATGTAGAAAACGAAACGTGTTTTGGCAGTTTCAACAAAAGTCATAATAAAATGTAGTTTTGCCTCTTTTGCCGAAGTTCACAGGCGTTCATCACAAAAACCTACTCTCTCTGCTGTTGACTTTTCCCGGAGTCCTGGGTTCTTGGAACCGGCAATGGCGTTAATAAGTAACTGCGTCTACTGATCACATGGGAACGTCTGTGAAAGAGGCAACTGTTTAGCAAACATACCTGAGCATTGACTGAGCAAGTTCAGCCGGTGTTCGCAGCTCCCCAGTGCAAAGCTGCAGGATATTGAACCGGCCAAGAGTAGCAGACCTCCTTAAAGTAGGACACCTCCTTAAATCGCACCCAGTTTAAATCGTTGGGTTTTAAATTCTGCAAAAGATTTCAAACACGTTCCTAGACGTGTCAATAGTATCCATCTTGGCTGAGCGGGTGACCGTAATCGGTTTCAGCTTATTTGTACGTGTGCGAGTGTTGAGCATTACACTCGTTTGCCAACAGATAGTCACTACACTTCATGGTAAACTCCATCTATGCCCAGTGCAGGTGGACGTTAAAGATCCCATGAAACTAAAAGGCGATTTCTCCCGGTCTGGTGGCCGACAATCCTCCAGATATAATTGATCATCCAATCCAAATCCTCACTCTCTCTCTCCCTCAATCCCTCCGCCGTGCCCCATCGCTCCCCCTTTTTCAAGTCCCGCCTGAAAACCCTTCTTTTCGTGCTTACAGTCACTTTCCCCTCTCCCCCCCCCCCCCCCCCGGCTCGGAGTCAGGCTCCGCCACTGTTAAGCGCTCTGAGGCACCGCTCTGCAAGCGCAAGCTGCTGTCTCACTCTAAAAAGAAAAAAACACCGTCTTAAAAGGTAATGTTTTTATTGTCGTGCAATCGGCTGCCGGGCTTTGTGGGGATCGATTGCCGCAAAGCCTGGGCAGCCCCGAATGGGACGTGTGACAATGGGCAAGAAGCTGACTGGCGGTGAGAGCTGACATCTGTGACTGACTCAGTTGTGGTGACTGCCTTTGTTGCGAGGTGCTGGAGGGTTGTAACCTATGTAACCTGTGATTTACCCTTAACCAAGTAGCTGGGAGCGGGTTGGGTTCAGTGGCTTAACAAATATTTGGATGTTGGGAGCGCTATAAATCACTCCGTTTTCATTCTCTGCCTTTGTACTCGTCACTGTAGGGCCACCTTTTTCTTGACAAAACTCTGTTGAAGAAAGGCGTCGTTGCACTTTTAACATATATTTTGCCTCCTTCAAGGCCCGTCTCAAGAACCTCTTCTCCGACCCCGCTTCTTTCGCCCTCCTAAACCCCCCCCCAACCCCCCCCCCCACCTGCTCGCCAGCCCCGTCCTCCAGCTCGGGTCCAAATCGTCGACTTGGAGACGTTCTCCCGACGTGAAAGGCGCTGTGTAACTGTCACTTGTTGGTGTATTTTAATCTAATATACGAAGTGTTAATAGTTCCGAGGGATTTTCCATTGTTTGTTCTGTTGTGGCAACTTAATCGGTTATAGCTCCGAGAGGACATAAATATTTGATTTGATTCTGTTATATACACACACACACATACACACACACGCAGAGCACATGCACACCCGCAGAGCACATGCACAGCCGCACACGTGTGCACACGCACGCAAACCCACACAGAACCTACTTGTACCTTAGGACAATAGCCGTCAGTAATTACAATCCTACCAAATATGTCACAAACTCTGACCCGTGGGCTCAGACGAGTTCTACCTGACTGTCCACGTTTCAACTGCAAATGGATAATCATTACAGCTGAGAGCATGTTTGTGAGAGCATTTATATCGGGCCCTCACCCCACATAAATGCAAGTTGTTGTTGTTAATAATGCCTTGAACAAATAAATAAATACATACATACATACATAATAATTTGGTCACAATCGGCTGCCGTGTTTTGCCCACAAAAATAGAGTCAATCCACTTTACAGTGCGTCCTGCGAAGCGCTTGGAGACATCTCAACGACGTGATAAGGCGCTGTATCCAATATCAAAAGCGAGGAATTCACTTCACTGTATATTCTGTGAAGCGCTTTGAGACGTCTCGAAGACGTGAAAAGGCACTACATCAAATGCAAGGATTATTCTTGTTAATGTTGATAATATTCTCATCAGTAGTTTCGTTGAGTGATAATCCCCTCCGCTGTCGATGCCGGACGTTAACTGTTTTCTCTCCATTTGCAGGCGACGTTGATGAGAGTGCTCGGGAGCACTTTGACTTGCCCTCTGTACCTCTGATCTCCAGGGTAACTGGGCCCTCCATGCAGAGCAGTGGATACATCTATCTCACCATGGCTGTCTAGGGATCAGCACACGTGCCTGGTACGACCCAGGCCTTGGGCAGATATGCCAGCCTCCGACGACAGCGCAAAGCGGCTGGCAGGCTAAACAAAACAACAACAAAAAAAGAATTGATCACGCGTCTACAAACAACAACAAAAAAACACTCGACGGAGTGTTAAATCTTTTCCATCTCTTGTGAGGGGGAGGGGGGGGGGAGGAGGGAGAAAACCCGATGTTAGAAAGAGTCCGAAACAGCGAGGTGAGCCGACACGTCGGCAAGTACATGTCTTTTAAAAAAAAAAAGAATAACGAGATCCTTCTCGGGGAGGAGAGCGGGTGCGCGCGTTTCATTTAAGAACGGGGATCACTTCTTGAGGTGATGACGCTTTGGCTTTTTATTCATCCAAAATCTTCTGGAGGAGTGGGGTGGGGGGGGGGGGGGGTTTCATGATTTTTTTTTTTAATTTTGTGTGACTGTAAACGTTCTCGGGAAGGAGATTGCAATCCGGCGCAATGCGAGGGACCGGGGGGGAGTTAGTGTCCGCTCGGAGTGTGTGTTTGTGTGTGCGCCCGTCCACAGGACAGACCGAGCAGCGGCAATGGTTTTCACGGCGGGAGGGGGTGCGAGGGAGAGGTGTGCGTTTGTGTGTGGGGAAAAAAAATCTCTCTTTCCCCCCCCCCCCCCCCACCACCCCAGAAAAACGCATCCTCGTCGGAACATGCGCCTCACTTGTGGATTCGGGGGCGAACCAGCGTTAAACCCATTTGTCTCCCGTCCCCTTCTTTTTTTCCCCCCTCGCCGCCCCCACCTCAAAAAAAAAAATAATCCTCTCCTTTCCACTTCTGGGTACATTTTAAACATCAATAGATTTTCTGCTGCCGCTCAGAAAGGTAGAGTAAAGTGCCAGGGTTTGCAGAAGCACAAGAGATGTGGGGCTTGCTTTTTACTTGCCTCCCCCCCCCCACCCCCCCAAACACCTCTTAAATCAACAAAAAAAAAGGCCATCGATTCAACAAAAACACACACACCCCTTGGCTTCCAGCGGGAATAAGAGAAGGCGAGCGATAGATTACAGAAGCAGCTATTTCTAGTTTTGATTTTACATTGGGGTTTTTTTGGAAACCTTTTCAGGATGTTCGTGAAGTTCTCGGAACTTTGTTCTTTCCAGTTTTGTGGCGGTAGCAGGAGAAGGCATCACTTGGGGAGGGGAGGGAAGGAGCTCAAGCATTTGTTTTCTTTTTTGATATTTACATGACTTTTTTACCCCCCCCACCCTCTCTTTTTTCCTCTCTCGGCTCCGAAATTGTCATCTGATAATTTATTAGTACGACTGCGTTTGTCATGAAGCCCATCTGCTTACGCACGCGCGCGTTCGAAGGTACCTATCGTGCGTACCGCCATGATGTGCCCCCCCCCCCCCCCCCAGTTTTAGCAGTTTCACACCCAGTCGCACTCACGGTCCTTTTCGGTTTTCGAGCTTACCATTGTTTGTGTTTTTCTTCTGTTCCGGGTAACTGCTCGTACAAGACTTAGCGAAGAGCTAAGTGTAGAAGTGTATTATTGCACACCGCACGGTCTCATTCATCATTTACTAAACCTTTGGTTGTTGCCAATCTTGCAGTAAAAAAAAAGTTGTTGAACTCCTACTTCTCGGGCTCTGATCGAACTTTTCTTTGTGTCGAACTTGTAAATGCAAGTTGCCGTGCCCCCCAGCAACGTAAGTCGTATCAGTTGGGACCAGACATTTAATAGGGACTATGCCATGTTATGTCAAACTTAGAAAATAACCTCTTGAGCGGGACTTGGGCAGATGTACGACTTAGGCGATCAGACGATTTACACTTATCAAACTTAGGTGAGTCTTACTGTACCAGCAAAACAAATGTGGTGGATCATGAGCGAAGAGGCCTGTTGGGTCACTCCATCTAAAGGTGTCTCCTCGTCCCTCACCCGAGTCCCCTCACCGCCATACAAATGCCCTAGAACCTCCCTATCTTGTTGATCTCCCACTCCTCTGCCCGCTCCCCCGCTGCGGGGCGAAACCTCAGGCAAGTTTCCTTACTCCACACGCGCGCACGCACACGCCTCTGTTTACCCAGCAGTAAAGTAGGAACCCGGTTGTTAGTCGACTGGCGGATCGCTTTCCGGGGTGGGGTGGGGGGTAATAATCCCTCCAAAGAAAATGTGTTCACTCAATCCACGACCGTGTGGGACACTGCGTAATTTGCTGCCGCGTCTCGTCCACAGAATATTCAGTGAATGCACAGTATATTCTGAGAAGCGCTTTGAGACGTCTCGATTAAATGCAAGGATTATTACCATTAAATGTATTTCAACCTCAGGAGGTAAAGAGGTGGCAACAGCAGTGAGAAAACAAGGGAGACAAGACGGCAAAGGGACCAACAAGGAATCTTCCAGTCATTGTGCTTTGAAGTAAATACTTTAGAGGGCGATTCAATCCATTCGGGACTCCAATAACGACCTGTAAAGAATTCGACTCGGGTTATCCCGGTTGTTTGTAGATTTTATCAAGAGTATCGAATGGGATCTGCAAAGTCATCCTTACATGTGCGTGTGTTTTTTTTTTAAACTGTATTTTGTGGGCAGCCTGTTCCTGCGTTCGCTGTGGCCGTCGTGAAACGGTTAAGTTTTCGTATCGCATCTACGCGAGGGAAAGGCGTGGAGTGTGGGGTGGCATCCAATCTGCATCGGGGCCTTTCTGATCCACAGTCATATAGGTTAGAGCCGGTTACCAAGTCTTTCATTCACTAATCGGTTCATCACTGGTTATCAATATAAATTGCCAGTTTATTATTCATCCTGTGTAGCTCTTCGCGACAGTCACCCAACGTGATAACGATGCCTTATCAAAAGGCGAGGATTATTGCCACGTCCAGCTTTTCAGGGAGTTTGTCTCTCAGTATCCTGGCCAACAACCTGCCCCCCGCCCCAAATAAAAATTGGTCACTCACACCGTGGCTGTTTGTGGGACACTGCTGTGCGCAATGCTGTGGGAAATGGGGTGGTGAGGTTCCAGTCTGGTGAGGGTGGGGGGCGGGGGGGGTGAGGGTGAGGGTGGGGGCTGGAAAGCTGAACGTGACGATAATCCTCGCCGTTTGATAAGGCATCTTTATCGCGTTGGGTGAATGTCTCGGAAGAGCTGCACAGGATTTAAAACCTGCAATTTATATTGATTACCAGTGATAAACCTGAAATAAACTGATTAGCGATTGAAAGACTTAGCAACTGACTCTAATCTATATGACTGTGGATCAGAAAGCCCCGATGCAGATTGGATGCCACCGCACATTCCACGCCTTTCTCTCGCGTAGATATGATATGAAATCTTAACCGTTTCACGACCTTTGGACGGCCACAGCAAACATAGGAGCAGGAGGAGGCCATTCTGCCATTCTATTAGATCGTGGCTGAGATTCGTTCCCCAACTCCATTTACCCACCTTTGCTCCATATCCTTTGATACCCAAAAGCCTTGTGCCATTATCCCGTTCCGTTCTCCCTTTCTCTTGTGTGTAAACCCTGTCCATCTTCTGTAGCCGTCTTCAGAGTCTGGTTTCTGAGCGAGACGGGTCTACAGTAGTCCAGGGCAATGCTGGTGTCAGACAGACCAGCCCAGCCTGGCTTGTCGGCGGGACTCAAAGTGGGCATTGGTGAGCAGGGATTTGTTCCCACTTGGCTCCTGATGGCCTCACAAGCCAAAGCCCTAACTTGGTGACACCATTGGGAAGATCCCCAGACTGGACAAGGGAGGGAGGCATATTACAGAGATGGAGTGAGAGAGAGAAAGAGAGAGATCAGGGTGGATATGGTGGCAGGGCCAGATATTGGGGAAGACGGGATGGAGGCGGAGGAATTAAGGAAGGGAGTATCGAGGGATAAAGAGCAAAAGGGGGTAAATGCATCTGGGACTGGGTCAAGTGCTCTGGGACCCTACCGTGTGTGAGGGGCACTATATAAATGCAAGTTGTTGTGAATGGAGTTGAGGTACAGATCAGCCATGATCTAATAGAATGGCAGAACAGGCTCAACGGGCTGAATGGCCTCCTCCTGTTCCTATGTTCAAAGTCAGCAGGGACCTGACCGGCTTAGCTGTGGAGAGGCCTGGGTTTGGGACCTGAGTCTCCGGTGCCATTTGGTTTAATATTAAACCAGGAAGAGGCAAAATTCAAGGTCTGTGTTGTCATCGGGCAGTTTTCTGATAACCCGTCACTCCACTCCTCCCTCAGTTAATGGTTAGAAGAGGAGGAGCCGCTCGGGAATCTCTTACTAATCCTTGCGATCGCCAGCCGTGGAAATCTACAGTGAGGAGGAAAGCCTTTCAGCTCACACCCGGCTCTGAGAGCAAAGCGTTCATTCAAGCCCCCTGCCCGATCCCCACGCTCCTCAGTCACAGCAATAATAATAATAATAATAATAATAATCCTTGGATTTGATACGGCCCCTCACCAAACCTGTCGAGACGTTTCAAAACGCTTCACAGGATGAACTGTAAAGTGCAGTTGACTGTGTAGTTTGTGGGCGAAACGCAGCAGCGGCCAATTTGCGCACCGCAGCGTCCCCCACAAACAGCCGTGGAGCGAGTGACCGATTTTAACCCGGGGCGGGGGGGGGATTTCTGGCCAGGACACCGGGAAAGAGAAACCCCCTTCTTGTTTCAAACAGAGCCGCGGGATCTTTAGTGCCCACCTTGACCCAACAACCTTCTGACTCTGAGGCGAGAGAGAGAGAGCTCCCACTGTGCCAGGCCGACACGCTGTCGTGGTTTTATTATTATTATTATTATTATTATTGTAAGTGTGGTATCGAACCATGAAAATCTCACTGTCGGCAGTAACTGTTTTTATACAGAAGTCATTTCACTTTAATGTACACAATGGCAAATACATTCTTCCACCAAACAACCATCAACATCCCTTCACAGTCTTTTCACAAGAGAATATCTCCCCCAATGGAGTTTGTTCTATGGCTATGTTCAACGTACCGAACTGCTCTAGGGTTTGAAAGAAATAAAAGTTATATAAAAAACACACATGAAAGATACAAACACAGGTAACACATTAAGGCTTCCTTGACATTGATTAACATGAGGAAAACCGTAAGGAATACCGCAAAATTTCGCCCCAACTGAATAGCCTTTCTTGTACGGGAATGCATTTTACAGTTGGGTATACATTTGAGACTTTTGACGCAGAATATACATATATATTTTATATATAGAATTATATATATCATTAACAGTGATATTCACAATCAATTGAGGTGTGTCATTTGTTTTTTTTGGTACTATGATAATTCTCGCATCAACCTGGAACTGGATAAGAGCTTCACATTATGTCTGTAACATAATTAATACACGTAACAGCCTCGTCACCAGGAAGGGCCACTACAGGGGTCTATATATCCATATTGACCCGTCCTCTCCCTCCGCTCAGCCTCTCTGCCCCCACACTTTGGACCTCTATCCCACAGTCTCTTCGCCTCGCCCCCTCCCTCGCCTCCTTCAAGGCAGGACTCAAGACCCTTCCTTCTCTTCGACCGTGGCTTCGGTCACCCTCCCACCCCTCCCTCCCTGCCCTAATCTCCTCCGGATCCTGACCCCCCCCCCCCCCAACTCAGGTCCAAATCCCTGACTGTCCAACGCTATGGGACGTCTTCCTGACGTGAAAGGCGCTGCGTAAATGTCATTTGTTGTTCAATATTGGCCGTTTCCGGCATCGAAAGAGAGTTGGGACAGATTCGATGGGCCAAATGGCCTCTTTCTACCCTGTAGATCTCTCCGCTTCTGCAACTTGGGTGTGTCCACTTCACAACAGGAGAAATGGACCCGAATGGGGTGGGGGTGGGGGTGGGGGGGGGGAGGGGGTAGGGATACTGGGGAGCTGGTTGCCATGTACATGATAAATAGGGCTGGGAACCAAGGACACGGAGACTCCTACAACGAGGGTGAATGAAACCAGAACGGGAAACAATCCAAGCTGCGCGGTGCAGTGTTGAGCGATGAGCTGGAGGTCAGTTGAGTTTGGTCGGAGGCCAAAAACAGCAGCAGCTGCGAAGCCATCAGCCGAGTGTGTGTGTGGCACAGAATAATGGGCAGTGAGGAGATAATGCGACAGTGGGTCAAAGACTACAGAGATGGTACAGCACAGAAACAGACCGTTGGGCCCAACCTATCTACAACGGTGTTTAATACCACCTCAGCCCCCCAGTCTGTATTCTCCCATCGCCACACACCCTCTTTACCCTTTCTCTTCGTCACGGACCCGTCATGTGATCCAAAGCATGGAGCAGAACACGCATCTTAGCGTGACCCTGGCCGGCTGAGCGTGGTGCGATGCACGAAGCTCACGCCAGCGATGAAAGCACCAGTCCTGTGTCTCTCCCACGTGTGTGGGGTCCAGCGCTCGGCTGAAGGAGTTTAAAAAGACAAACTTCGAGAGACTTTTGTTTTCTTTACCCTGAGCGCAAACTGTGTCGTTCAGTCTGACAACAGAGACACCAGCCCGAGGTAACCGGGCCCGAAATTCCACCTGGTCTTAGCCTGTCACACGATTCATAATTACACAATAAAATAATTATAATCCTTGCATTTTATACAGTGCATTATCAGGTCATTGAGACGTCTCAAAGCGCTTCACAGAATACACTGTAAAGAGGGGTTGACTGTATATTTTTGTGGGCGCAACGCGGCAGGCATTTGCTCACAGCAGTGACCGCACAAAGAATCGTGGACATTTACCGTTGTTGTTACTAAGAATAATAAGACCGACTGATGAATTATACGCTAATGAAGAGCTTTCTACGATTCTGCGCAATCTCAGTTCCTTATGGGCATTCGCTTACAAAAACTGCATTTCACAAAATATCTGGTGAAGCGCTTTGTGACCTCCAGTGTCGCGGTAAAAGGCGCTCTATCAAATGTAAGAATTATTATTATTATTAGAATATTATACTACTTCAGTGAGAGAATAGTAAGCGTATGGAACAGTGCAGAGTTTGGGACACGACATGTCAAGCGACTGCCAGGAGGGATGGAAGGCAAACTGGATGGACCTCGATCTTCTGTGGTACAGCAAATTCTCACGTTCTTATATTAATAAGGGAAAGCAGATGTGCAGGCTAAGGCTGGGTGGAATTTCTTGGCTTGGACCCACAGGGCCAGGCCCATCACATGCTCACACCTGAGGCACTTTCTCAGGGACGTAAAAAAATGAACCAGTTAGAAAATTAAAAGCATTTTTCCACGAGTTAAGAGTCTGACTTTGGTGATGGTGGGAAAAAAGGCTGAGCGTTGTTTCCCCTCTTCAATTCCTCTCTGAAGTCCTCGTGTTCTGAATTTTTCCCCCGTGTCAGTCTTGTGTCTTGGAACGGGTTTCGTTCTGCGGCTTTGTTGCTTCCGACAAGTGAAAGGTGGGGAGAAGAAGTGAGGTTGGGGGGTTGGGGGGGTGCGATGAGACCCGTCTGTTTGTTCGTCCACCTGACTACCCCCTCCGACAGTGATTTCCAGAGATGGCTGTTGGCTTAACCTTCCAGCCCCATTTCCCCCAATTCCCAGTGGTTCACATTCACGATGGCCAATACCCTGACTTCTTCAGAAGCGAGCGGAGTCAGGGGGGACGTTGGTAGAAAGTTTGATCCGTCCTGTCCAACAACAGCAGGAAGGAGAATTTCCCTATAAAAAATATCTGGTCCGAATCCGCCCCCGGAAACGGGAAGAGATTATTCCCTTTGTGCGAACGGAGCTGACAGCCTCCCTACGGCCTGGAGGGAATCTCAGGAATCCCACGCAGTAAGTCATTCCTCATTTCATTTCGACTCTCTGGGAGGAGGTGGGAAAGTGGGAGTGAGGGTGTGGTGGGGGGAGGAAGGGGAAGAGGGAGAATGGAGGGAGGAGGGGGAGAGAAAGTGGGGTGGTGGTGGTAGGGGGGGAGGTAGGGGGTCATTGGGATTTCAGGAGACCCAGTTTCCGCAGAGCTTCCCTGCGGGATTCATCCGTTGAGCCCCGTCCGGAAAACTGGACGGTGATTCCCGGGGTGCGTAACCCGCTGGGGCGAGGGGTGGAGCTGAGACGCCGGAGTTCTGGGTGGAAGGGGCCTGGGGAGGGGCTCAGGAATGCCGGGGGAGGGACTTCGCTCGGAGATGGCAGATCCAGCTTGGAAGTGGAGGCTCTCCTGAGAGGCGGAGAGGTCTCTCCGGCTGCGCTGACGGTCGGCTTCACCTTGAGCGAGTGGGAGAACCCGGCGATGCGCAGCTTTGCCGGGGAACCGTTGTGGAGAGGCGTCTCCTCGGGCTCCTTGGCCAAACCCAGCTTAGACAAGGCCTCGTTCCTGGCTTGGCCGGATCCAAGCTCCTTGAAGGACGTGCTCCTGCTGGAAGCCCAGAGCCGAGCTCTCTGCTGCCTCTCGTCTGACTCCAAGGCCAGCCGCCCTGCGGCGGAGCCCAGATTGGCCAGGACTCGCGCCTTGCGCTCCTGAATGTTGACCGAGGCCTTGGTGATGGTACTGTTGTACTCGCGGTTGCCCACCGAGACGTTGATGTTGGAGGGGAACCTCTGGTGCTTGAAGCTGCCCTGGGAGAGGGGTCGGTGCTGGGGCTCCCGGGACTCGGTGGGGGAGGTGGGGTTCGACCTGCTGTTGTGGTAATGGAAGGCCTTGCTGTCGGTCACCCCTAGTGGCGGCGGCGATGGAAAGATCGGTGAGGTGGGGGACAGGCTGCCGTTCTCCGCGATTCTCTGCGCGATCACCAAGGGGGTGGGCACCGAGCCGATCGGCTGTGGGGAGGCGGGGGGGCCTATGTCCGGTGGGGGCAGGGGCCAATCAAAACTCTGCCGGGGCGAGACGAGGGAGGCACGGCGCTGGTCGAGGCCGGGACTTTCCGGCTCCACCTCCTCCTTGGGAAGGATCTCACTCACGTTCATGTCTACAAAGATAAAAGGGACGAAAAAAAACACACAAGTTATGTGCAGCAACAGAACAGAATCGGGACTTCATGTCGGTGTCACCGTCTGGGTCATCCTTAAATGATTTGATAAGAATAATAATCCTCGCATTATCACATCGTTGAGAAAGGCCCCAAAGCTCTTCGCAGGATACACTGTAAAGTGTAGTGACTGTGTGTTTTGTGGGCCAAACCCAGCAGCCAATTGCGCACAGCAGCGTCCCCACAAACAGCCGTGGATTGAGCGACCAATTTTTTTTGGACGGATTATTACCTCCTGGAAAGCGAACCGCCCATCGACAAACGACCGACCGGGTTCCTACTTATCCCTATAAACAGTGGGGGGTGTTTGTGGAGTAAAGAAACTCGCCTAACCTTTCGCTCGGCCCGGGAACCGAACCCGGGTCCTCTCGCTTGAGAGGCGAGTGATCTCACTTGAACCACCTCCCCCCCCTCCCCCCACCCATCAAATGCATCACGTCCCCCACTCCTACCCCCTCCTCCCCCACCCCCCCCACCCACCCTGGCCTTTCCACCCAAAACACTCGCAAAGGTAAGAGGAACTCCATGACTCTTCACAATCCACTCAACGTACATCGTATGGGTTTCACGTAATTTGTTTCGCACTCCTCCAGCTGATGTCTGCTGTCCTTCACCAGGTCTATGATCTCCTCGCTGCTCGGGTGAGGGTGGATTTGGGTGTGGGACAGGGTCGGAGTAGCCCTTCCTTCGTCCTCCTCTTCCTCCCCGGCCTCGCCGGAGAGGTTACTGAGCTCCAAGCCGTCGCTCAGCGAGTCTAGGGTGGTCTCGAAGAATTGGATGCATTCCTTCTCCTCACGGGACATGTAGTCATCGTCCTGGGCACAAGAGACCAGCGGTCAATGCCATCTCTACATTCATGTCTGCCTTAATCCATCCGTGTGTGTGTGTGTGTTTGGGGGTTCGACCCCCTGCCCAGTGCGAGGTGGCAGTACTCACAGAGCCAGGGTCCATGAATGCGGGGCCAATCCCGCTGTCGTTGCTTCCCATTCTTCCTATTCCGCTCCCAGGCAAAGCTCCGAAATCCGGCTTGGAAGACGAAACCTCGACCGGCATTATCTGTCAGGATCCCTCCATGAAAAATATCATCAAAGCAAAGTCAGAGACGGTGCAAATCGAGGTGCGCAAAACTAGACTAGACGAGGTGATGGCACGGAGCGTAATGGTCAGAGAGCTCACCTCGCAGGCGTGAGGCCCTGGGTTTGATTCCCGGGCGGATCAGGGGGGGGCAAAACCCCAGGACGAGTTTCCTTCCTCCACACACACACGCACACACGCGCGCCTCTGTTTACCCGCAGTAAGTAAAAACCCGGTAGTTATTCGATTGGCGGATCGCTTTTCCGGGTGCATAACCTCAACTGTCCAACAACAACAATAATAATAATAATAATCCTTGCATTTGATGGAACGCCTTATCACGTCCTTGAGACGTCTCAAAGCGCTTCACAGGGTATATTGTAAAGTGAGTTGAGCGAACAAATTATTACTATTTGGCGAGGGGGAGGGGGAGGGGGGGGAGGGGGAGAATATAATTTTATCTTCCCAATATGTAAAGGCGTTATATAAACGCAATCTCTTGTTGTGGTTGATATTATTATTGCGACATCTGCGAGAGCCTATTTTATTGTCTGTCCTGTCCTAACAGTTGGTTCGGCCAAACCACAGCTATCACTGGTCGATCAGGACACAGAGGGGTGGTTTTGTGCTCTTGAGATATTTATCGCAGGGAACAATCTGAGCAAACACACGCGGTGCATCTGGCGTGTAGCTCAGTCCATAGAGACTGCTGGTCGGGTTTATTTCTTGGATTTAGATTGATTTGGGCCCTCAAAATACACAGTCGCTCCACTTTGCCGTATATTCTGTGAAGCGCTTTGAGATAACTCAATGACGTGATAAGGCTCCGTATCAAGTGCGAGGATGTTGTTGTTGTTGTTGTTGTTGTCTTTAAACAACGCTCTGAAACTCTACCCATGTGAAGGGCGCTAATATAATAATAATAATATAAAACACACACACACAGTGACTCTCACACACAGACAGACAGACTTACAGGCAAACAGATACTCTCACGCGCACACAGACTCTCTCACACTCACATACGCAGACTCACACACGCACACACACGCAGACAGACACTCTCACACGCACAGACTCACGCACACGCAGACAGACACTCTCACACGCACAGACTCACGCACACCCACACACGCAGACGCACACAGTGGAGCGCCATTATTCACAGCCCAGGCTCAAATCTCTCAGCGAAATGCTCATCATACACGGCATTCCACAGACCTCTCCCTTTCCCCCCTCTCCTCCCTTCCCCCCCAAAGTAAACAAGAGACAGGTCAGGCAAAACCTACACAGCACGAAGCTGAGAAAGTGAGAGCGAAAGAGAGCGAGAGAGCGAGAGAGAGAGAGCGCAAGTCAGAGAGAGAGAGAGAGAGAGAGAGAGAGAAAGCCCAAGCGAGCAAGAGAGTGAAAGCGAGAGAATCCGTGTAACGTTGCTCAAACGAGCTCTGAACTGCCTTCCACAAGGCCAGACTGTGTTTTAGTTCGTCATTAGACACCCAAGTGTCTACTGGCCGCTCGTATGTCTGCATTTTATTCAAATCTTTTCAAAGTATCGAGATATTTCCGTCTTTTTTTGGTCAGCCGGGTGTCTGTCTCCACGCGGAAACCCATCACCGTGCTTAAGAGTACTCAACTATATGTGCAAATTCCCGGGTATTACCCCCATTCACTTCGTGGCTGTTTGCGGGGACGTTGCTGTCCGCAAACTGGTCGCCTCGTTTCCGCGCAACAGTCACTACGCTTCGCAGCGAGAAGCTTGGAGAACTTTCAACCGCAGGACGATAATAATCCTCGCGTTGGGCACAGCGCCTGTGATCGCGTGATCGAGACGTCTCAAAGCGCTTCACGGGATGCGCTGTACAGTGCAGTGAGCGTGTATTTTGTGGGCGAGACGCGGCAGCCGATTGCGCACGGCGGCGGCCCCCACAAACGGCCGCGGATTTAGTGACCAAATTATTATATTCTTTGAAGGGATTGTTATCCCCGGAAAGTGCTGCGTCAATCGACTAACAAACCGGGTTCCCGCTTACTGCTCGGAAAGCAGAGGCGTGTGGAGTAAGGAAACTTTTGCCCTTCCCTACCATTACCCTACGGGACTCCACGTGTCATATTGCTCCGGGCTCACTTTTTCAGCCCCATATAAAATTTTATGCACCTCTTATGAGGTCCCCTTGATGCCGTGGGCGGGTAAAGCAAAAGAAAATATGGGATGAGCACTTGATGTTTACGTCAAGTGTTTACTTTCCCTCCTTGGCAACACGATGGGTGACTCCGAGGTGAGACTTGTCTTGTGAGAAAAAAGTTAGGTCACCAAGAAATTCATTTCTGACCTCTTTCTCCCCTCCCCACCATCCCCCCCACCACCCCCCCCCTCCGCCCCGGCCCTTCAAAACCGAACTCCACCCCCTGATTGCAAACATTAGCCAGTTTACCTGCCAGACACACAGTCACTACACTTTGCGGTGTATCCAGTGGAGCGCTTTGAGATGTCCTCCGGATGGGAGAGGCTAAGGTTTGTATTGTTCCAACAAACACGGTGTTTCATCGGAAAGGAGATACGCCCTTGCTTCCTTCTGTGAGCTCATAACAATAATATTTGATAAAACTCCTTATTGCGTCGTCAAGACGTCTCAGGATTTACCGTAAAGGGCAGTGACCGTGTCTGTTGCAGGCGAACGCGGCAGCCAATTCGTGCACAGCGACGTCCCCACAAACAGCGTCAAGTGCCCGACCAATTTTATCTGGGAGATTGTTGGCCAGGAATCACCAGGAGAGAGAAACTCCCTTTTCCTTTTGAGTACAGCTGTGGGATCTTTAATGTCCACCTGAACCGAGATGGGGGTGGGACGTGACGGGGAGGGGTTCGGAGGTGATGGGAGGTGATGGGATGGGAGGTGATGGGGTGGGAGGTGCTGAGAGATTGTGGGGGAGGTGATGGGATGGGAGGTGATGGGGCGGTGGGAGCTGTTGGGGTGATGGGAGGTGATGGGGGGATGGGAGGTGATGGTAGTGAGAGGTGATGGGGGGATGGGAGTGGGAGGTGATGGGGCTGGGAACTGATGGGGGTGGGAAGTGATGGGAAATTGGGTGGGAGGTGATGGGATGGGAGGTGATGGGGCGGTGGGAGGTGTTGGGGTGATGGGAGGTGATGGGGCGGTGGGAGGTGATGGGGTGGGAGGTGATGGGGTGGGAGGTGATGGGGCTGGGAACTGATGGGGGTGGGAAGTGATGGGAGATTGGGTGGGAGCTGATGGGGAATGGAGGCCGGTTGGCGACAGTTGGTTTTATTCAACAAACTGACTATCGATTTACACGGTGAGACGAGCTGTGTGGGTCGGCATGGCAACGACCAACGCTAATTATACTCACGAAGGTATCGGGAATCTGATAGGATCTCTGGACGGGCCTTTAGACCTCAGAAACTTTTATAACAGCACCTCCCAACACCGGAACCTCGGAAAAGGGTAGAGCCAGAGAGATCGCCTTAACCCTGGCTTAACAGGGTTAACAGGAGCGGGAAGATTCCCACCCACACACAGCCCCCCCCTCCCCACACACCCCCACACGCACACACACACGAGCACGCACTCCCTTCAAAAAAAAATTATGATAAGAATTTGGTCCCTCGATCCACCACCGTCCGCGGGACGCTGCCGTGGGCAATTGATTGGCTGCCGCCTTTCACGGACAAAACACACAGTCACTCCGCTTCACAGTATATTCTGGGAAGGGTTTAGGCACGTCTCCGGGTCGTAGACACGCAAGTTGTTGCTGTCTCAGTTAAGCGAGAAGGGGTCGTATCAAATTATTATTAAAATTATTATTATTTTCAAAGTGCTGACCAGATCAACACGTGGCTGTTTCTGCGCGAGTCTTCGGTGTGTGCCAAACAGCTGCCTACAAAAAAAAAAGAGAGGGTCGCTGCACTCGACAAAGATCGCTTGCGAAATACTTTGAGGCCCATGTCGGAAAGGCAAACATACCAGCTCCACTATAGGACAAAAGAAGCCCTGAGTTGTTTGTCCTCCCTCTCGCCACAAACTTGTATTTCTGGCTTCTGCAGACCAGTTTCGTGTTACTTCTAGGTCACACACACACACACACACACACACACACAAGACAAAAGAGTTTAGAAGGTGTCATTAGTAGCTTGGGGGAAAGAGAGCGAGAGAGAGAGAGAGAGAGAGAGAGCGAGAGATTCCCTTTTATTCGCCCGTAAAAAATACACAGTCGATTCGCTTTCCAAAACATTCACCTCTGCAAGGCCGAGGTGGAGAGATGTTTGTTAGGTCAGGGGATGGAGGGACACGGGACAAAGGCGGGCGATTGGAGTTGAGCTACAGATCAGCCGTGATCTTATACAATGGCGGGACAGGCTCGAGGGGCTGAATGGCCTGTTCCCGTTCCTATGTTCCTAAGCGCTTTGAGACGTCTCACTGACGTGATAAGGCGCTATACCAAATGCAAGGATTATTGTTAGTATTATTAGGCTGATCCTTCTGTTTGCTAAGCTGCCTGTCACGTCAAATCCACTCGAAACGTCTCACAGAATGTACTGCAGAGTGTAGCGGAGCGACTGTGAATTTGGTGGCGCTCGTGCCTCTGAGTCCCATGGTTTGTGAGCTCAAGGCCCCGCATCGGGGCTCGGAACTAGTACCGTCAAAGATGACACTCCAATAGGCAGCGCTGGGGGGAGTGCTGGAGGTTGTTGGAGGCGCTGTCCTTTGGGATGAGACGTTAAAACAAGGACCCGTCTTCCCGTTCAGGTGATTATTAAGGATCCTGCGCCTTAGTTGTAAAAAGAGAAGGCAGTCTCTCTCTCTCTCTCTCTCTCTCCCACTGTCACTGGCCAACAATCAATTGCTCACTGTGCGGCTGTTTGTAGAGATATTGCTATGCGTTAGCCCACCAAACACACAGTCACTGCGCTTTACAGTATCATCCGGTGAAGCACTTTGAGAGACATCCTCCCGACTCGAAAGGCGGCACATGGAACGGAAGATTCATCACCATCAATAATATTAATAATAAAAAAACACAGGATGGATCTCCCGCGTGTTTTATTATTAGATTAATTGTTAGCCTGACTGAGATATCTTTTCTACGCTGCAGTTTCCACGCTGGGAGTCAATCCACTTTACAGTATATCCCGCGAAGCGCTTTGAGACGTCTCGACGATGCGATGAGGGGCTGTGTCAAATGTAAAGAACTGTTATCACTGTTGTTAGGTTAGGGTCAGCGCTGACCGGTGACCATTAGACCAAGGCACAAAGCTGGGGTGTGTCGGGGATAGGGGTGCGGTGGGGGGTCTGGGGGTGAGGGGGACATCAGTTGGGGAGATGTGAAAGCACTTAACGTTCCTTTTGACGCAGAGTAAAACAGCTGTATGTTCCAATGTTTCCTTAGCAGCTTATTTGATTAAGAACTTAATTGCTTCCTTCAAGAGCGGGTGGGCTGCATACTTAGGATTCCTGTGTGCGTTCGTCATGTGTTTGTGTTCTCAAGCAACAGTTTAAACACGTTTCCCCCCCCCCCTTCTCTTTTCTTTCCCTCCGTTTACTATTTGAGCCTTATCGAACGCAAGGATTATTATACGGCCATCACAGCCTTCGAGACGTCTCAAAGCGCTTCGCAGAACATGCTCCTGGTATTAGAATTGTTATCAGAGTTACGGTAATCCTCCTATACGGTGCCGCCTGTCGCGTCAAAAACCACTCCAAAGCGCCTCACGGGCGACACCCCAGAACGTAGTGACTGTGAATTTGGTGGACGCTCTCGCCTCTGAGGCGGAAGGTTGCGAGTTCAGGCCCCCGCGTCGGGACTTGGAGCGCAAACAGTCTAAGATGAATTGTCGGGAGGAAATCGCGTACTTCGAACATTGGGAAGAACTTTGTGTTTGTTTTCTTTTTTTTTAATGGGGCTCTAATCACATCTAGACCTGCTACAATACTTCAGAAGCTGAGATGATCGAACTTCGGGTTGTTAAGTTGCTGACGATGTCACGTTCCTCCTTTGCGCTGCACAGCCAAGCGGGAAGTGATGTAGACAGCAATGGAGGCGGCTCAGCATCAAAGAAACTCCACTTCTCTGGGCTCCAGAGGAGGAGAGTCACCAGTTGGTCATTCGTCGTCCGACCAGCGTGGGTGTGAGCCCTCACTAGGGGATGGTAGGAACCAGGAACTCCCTGCCACAGCTTCCTCCCACCCTCGCTCGCCTCCGCTGGCTCCCCATCCCCCAGAGGATCGAATTCAAGATCCTCATCCTCACCTACAAGGCCATTCACGGCCTCGCTCCCTCCTACCTCTCCGACCTACTATCCCCCTACCTACCTGCCCGTACCCTCCGTTCCTCTGGCTCCGGTCTGCTCCACATCCCCCGCCCCAACCGCCCTACCAATCGGTGGCCTTCAGCCTCTCAGCCCCGAGGCTCTGGAACTCCATCCCTAGTGCCTTTGCCGCTTCCTCCCTTTCCTCCTTCAAGGCCGGTCTCAAGATCTTTCTCTTCGACCGTGCCTTCAGCTCCCCTCTCGACTGTCTACCCCCTCCTCGCTCCCTCCCTTCCCTCCCCTCACCCTGACCATTTCCCCCCAAGGCTCGGGTCCCGACCCAACTGTCCAGCGCCTTGGGACTTCCTCCCGACATGAAAGGCGCTCTATACATAAAATCTTGTTGCTGTTGTTGTTGTTCCTGGTTGGCAACACAGCTCAGGGTGAGAGGCATTGCCACCATCTACCTGCCAACAGTTCGGACACACGCGCACACCCACAGGCTTGACCTGCACTTACTCACATGGGCTGAGATGACATTCCAATGCAGCGCTGTTGCATTGTCAGAGGTGCCGTCCTTCGGAAGAGATGGTAAATAGAGACATGGACTATTTTCGAACAGCGCCATAGGATAATAATCCTTGCATTTGACATAATAATAATAATAATAATAGCGCCTTATCATGTCGTTGAGACATCTCAAAACTCTTCACAGGATATACTGTACTGTAAAGTAGATCGACTGTATTTTGTGGGCGAAACACGACAGCCAATTGTGCACAGCAGCGTCCCCACAAACTGGTTGATTGAGTGACCAAATTATTATTTTTTCAAGGGATTATTACCCCCCGGAAAGCGATCCGCCAATCGACTCACAACCGAGTTCCTACTTACTCCCAGGTAAACAGAGGCGTGTGTGTGGAGTAAGGGAACTTGCCTAAGGTTTCGCCCTGACCCGCCTGGGGATCGAACCCGGGTCCTCTCGCTTGCGAGGCGAGAGCTCTAACCCACTGAGCTACAAGACGTCAGTATGACAGGATTACAATACTTCTCAACAGCCAACACAACCTTTCCCTTAAATGTCTGCCCCCACGTCACACCATTTCACATTTAAGTTTAAGAGTCAATGTCCTCTTATTTTTCATACCTAGAAAAACAATCGACATCGAAGAGAGGAGCGAGAGAGAGTAGCGGGGAGTTGGTGGGGGGTGGGTGGGAGATGTGGAGTAGTGGTATTTAAAGTTTGATACCGGTTTGGCTCCTGAAACACTCCTCCACCCAAAATCCAGAGACACCGGGGCAAGGTTGGGCACTCCGCTAGCGATTTGCTTAGGCTAAACCGATACCAATCTAAACCCAAGTTAAATATATACACACGCACACACATATATATATAAAGAAAATATCTACAGTAATTATCATTTCCATCCAAACTGAGTGGCCATGGCATTGTAGTCTCAAATGAGTCGTGTACATGTTAGCAGCACATGTGCCAAATCCTAACATAGACACACGCACACTAACAGATATATGCACACACACACACAGTAACATACGCACAAACACACACAGAACACGCATACTAACACACCCTAACATACACACACACTTAACATACATACACGCACAGTCACAAGCACACACTAACACACACACATATACAAACACATACAGTAACATATACACACTAACATACGCACTAACAGTAACACACATTAATCCACACACACACCAAATGAACACTAATAACACTCAACTCACACACACTCTTATTCTTACCTGAAACACCTGCCTGGATCCCTGTGCACAGCAAACCATAAAAAGGCGATGGGTGACACCTGGTTAAACTTCTCCCCCTCTCTCTCTCTCTCTGTGTTTTCCCTTTTTCTTGGTTGAAAGGATCTTTGCTGAGAATCACTTGAGACACACACAACACAACACACACAAGGAGAGAAACTGTTTGCTCTGTCTCAGTCTTTCTGTGAGTGTGTTGTGTGTGTCTCTGTGTGTGTGTGTCTGATTCTCCCACGTACTGTACCAGTGACTTATCTCCTGGTCTCTCTCAAAAGGTTTGCAAATGCTCCTGTGCTCAGGAAATATTCCCAATTGACTGGATGAAGCTCTCTCTCCTTTCCCAGGCAAAGCAACACACACTCAGAAACACAACCAGCCTCTGTGTGTGTGTGTCTCTCTCTCTCCCTTGTCCATTTCAGGAATGAACCAGGGCAAGTCGCAATTCTTTTCTGCACACTGAAGGGTTAAACCTCAACTTTTTTTCTCTCTCTCTCTGCCACCACCCTCTCTCTCCCTCCCTCTCTCCTTCCCCTCCCCTCTCCCTCCTCCTCCACCACCACCACCCCCACAACTCAAGCAAAAATGTCTTATCATTTGCTCTCCTTCAAACTCATCCATAAACACACACACACACACCTGCAAAGTACATAGACACTGGTGATCAGAGTTGGAGTTTAAAGTTAAAACGTGGAACTTTTCCAATAGGATCTGATGTCATTTTCCTGGAGAGAATCCTGCAGAGATCTTTACCAACACTCTCCTCCCCATCCCAACCAACCAACCAACCAACCCCCCCCATACAAGAGATTGAAGACATTGTTGATATTAAGAGCCTGCAGATTTGTGTTTCATTTTCAATGCCCTATTTTTTTTTTGCTGTCCTTGATTTTAAATGATGCTCTAATAATAATGTGGAGACTCGTGGCGGTTAGAGCCCCCGCCTCGCAAGCGAGAGGACCTGGGTTCGATTCCCAGACGGTGCGAAACCTTAGGCAAATTTCCTTCCCCCCCCCCATTACCAGCGCTAAGTAGAAACCGGGTTGTTAGTCGATTGGCGGATTGCTTTTCCAGGGATAAAATATCCCTTCAATTATTTTTTTAAAAAATAATAATTTGGTCACTCAATCCACGGCTGTTTGTGGAACGCTGCCGCGCGCAATTGGCTGCCGTGTTTCTCCCATAAAATATACAGTCAATTTGCTTTGCAGCATATTTCTGGGAAGCGCTTTGCAATGCAAGGATTATTGTTATCTATCGCCATTACAACCTGTAACCTGATGTGTGCATTGTTAGATAACTTACAATTAACCACAACACTATTGTTTTGTTCAGCCGGGTGTCCGAAACATGCGGAAACCCATCGTCGTACTTAAGAGTATCCACTCCGGACTGAGAATTCCGTGCATGTCACCCACCGCGTGGGAATTTCCCTGTGAAACGTCCCACAAAACAGCCGTGGAGTGAGTGACCAATTATTATTTGAGAGATTGTCGGCCAGGACACCGGGAGAGAGAATCTCCCTTCTCTTTTCGAATAGCGCCGCGGGACCTTTAACAGGGCAGACGTTTTAACGTCTCATCCAAAGGACAGCGTCTCCGACAATACACCATCCCACCCCCCCCACCCCCCAGCGCTGCATTGGAGCGTCAGCTTAGACTGTGTGATTCCAAGTGCTCACAACCTTCTGACTCAGAGACTAGAGAGAGAGAGAGAGAGAGAGAGTTACCGCTGAGCCACGCTGACACTATAGCTGTGAACTCAAGTCCTGACATGGAGCTTAAACTCATAATCGTTTGACCCAGAAGTGAATACGCTATTGATTGAGCCAAGATATCACCTGAGAACAGGCAACAGGGAAAGGTTAATCTGAATGGACTCCCGGGTGTATAATTACCAGCTATTTTCTCCCTGCCTCTCGTTCTCTCCCTATAAGCCTAATTGCAAGCACGCAGCGCTGTGTCCTTAACAAAAGAAATACTTCTGATATTATGTACTCGTGTGTATAGGCTGGAAAGGTGTTTTCAGGCAGGAACAATACCGAACTCGGAGTGCGTTACGAGGTGCTACTCCCACCAATGGCTTTAGGTGCCGTCACACACGGAACAGCAAACAAACAACCGCTTATATTACAAAGAAACATCTGTAGTCTCCAAACGGTGTAAATCTGACTCACTCGCAGCGCGCCTATTTACATAACACGGTCGTTCCTTCAGTAGTACAACACTAATTTAAACTGCTACTTCCTGTAGCTCAATGGGGAGTCCTGTAGCTCAGTGGTTAGAGCACTCGCCTGGCAAGCGAGAGACCTGGGTTCGATTCCCGGCTGGTCAGGGCGAAACCTTGGGCAAGTTTCCTTACTCCACACGCCCGATAATAATCCCTCCAAAAAACAAAAGCAATAATAAATTGGCCACTTCAATCCACGACTGTTTGTGGGGCGCTGCCGCCGCTGCTCAATTGGCTGCCGCGTTTCGCCCGCAAGTACACAGTCACTGCACTTTACAGCGTAGTCTGTGAAGCGCTTTGAGACGTCTAGAAGAGATGATGAGGCTTTATATCAAATGCAAAGATTATTATTATAATTGTTGGGATTCATTAAAAACAAAGTTTGATGATAATATTACTTAATAATAATAATAATACTCCCTCCCCCAGGACTATATGGAAATTGTTGGGCCCAAAGTCCACTTGATTCTGCCTCCCTGGGATCCCTACGCCAGGAATCTGGATCACGTCGAAGGGTCTTCTTCATGCAAAACACTCTCACGACCTTGTGAATGGTCTTTGGAGCTGAAGTTAACCGCTGCCGCCCTCTTCAGGCTGAGTATTGTCAGCCTTATCCAACCCTCAAGTCATAATCCAAGGAAGTATTGGGTCTATAGTATTCACTGCTGATGGCAGCACAGCCCGGCCCGGCTCATCCGCAGGATCGGGAAGGGCAGAGCAGTCACTGGGGTCAGGGAATCCTCCCCCTCAGCTCCCGTTAACCCCACAGCCAAAGCCCTAACTAACGGGGAGGGTGGTCCTCGCTGGACGAGCAGCGGGAAAGCTTAGCCAGACAGCGCTCTCAATGGCCGAGCCGTGTGTGGTTTTAGCCGGCTAAGACTCCAGCAGTTACTCCCAATGCATAATTCCGGACTCCACCCAAGCCTTGGCTCTGGCCAACCTGCGCCTAATACTCTTCGGAATTAGGTAAGCAGGATACGTTCCTCCAGGGAGAGAGAGCGCTTTCCATCCCAACAGTCTATCTCAGGGATTTCCAGGTGTAGGTGGGATGTATGGACTTCTCAGTTTGGTTTGGGCACTGTTAAGCAACGGTGATGGGTTTCCGTGTGTGTCAGGTACCCGGCTGACCCCTTAAAAATCTAGCGGTCCAAGGAAGTACTCCCAAGTCGAACACGACCCTTTGTGTCCCAGCTCTCAATCTGGCTTCCAGCTTAACACCGCATCGAAGGATTGTCCACAAATTCCGAGACGAGTTAGGCTCAAAGACAAAGTGGTGTGACAGGCTGAGGCTTGGACTGGGTGGAATTTCGGGCTTCAGAAGATCAGAGCGGATGGTTTGTGCGTGCGCGTGTTGTGCGTGTGCGCATGCGTGCGTACGGTGTGTGTAGTGCGCGAGTGGGTGCGTGAGGTGTATATGTGTGGTAGCGCGTGTGGTGTGTGTGCGTGCGTGCGGTGTGTGCACGAGCCAAAAAAGTGTGGTGTATGTATGCGTGTGTGCGTGTGGTGTGCGTGAGGTGTATGTGTGTGGTAGCGTGTGTGTGCGTGCGTGCGGTGTGTGCGCGGGCCCAAAAAGTTTCTGCGCTGTGACATTCTACGAGAGACACAGAATGACGGGGATTGATTTATTATTCATCTTTACATTATAAAATTATTATTATCATCATTATTATCTGCCTTACTTTGGGACTGTCCGGGGGCGGTCAATCCCCCCCCCCGCCCGCCCCCCACCCCAGCAGTGAGCGAGAGAGAGAGAGAGCGAGAGAGACCCACGTGGGAATCTCATTCCCGGGCTTTCCGCAAGGAATGCGTCCACAGCGGCTTGCGTTTCTGCAGGAAGGAGCGGATCCCCTCTTGCCCGTCCTCCAGGCCCAAGTTCTCCACCATCGCCAGTGCGGTCACTCTGTACGCCTCGTCCCGGCTCAGGCACATCTGGCGGTAAAAGGTGGCTTTGCCCAGCGCCATCACCGACCGGCTGGTCCCGCAGATCCTGTGGGCGATCCTCAAGGTCTCGGCCTCCACCTGCTCCCTGGGCACCACCCGGCTCACCAGCCCGTGCAACAGAGCCTCGTGGGCTGAGATGGACTCTCCTGTGAACAGCATCTCCAGGGCCACCTGTTTATTAATATGATTTTATGTGTGATTTTATAATATTAATGTGTGTGCGTGCGTGCATGTGGTATGCGTGGTAGCGCGTGGTGTGTGTGTGTGCGTGCGAGGTGTGTATGTGTGGCAGCGCATGCGTTTTATTATTAATACTATATGCCATATAATCATGATAACCCTTGCATTTATATAGCGCCTTATCTCTCGCTCTCTCTCTCTCTCTCTCTCTCTCACGTCATTGGGATGTCTCAAAGTGCTTCACGGAAATGCACATCGCCGCACGACTCAATTTATAACGTACTGCAACAGCTTGGATCTGTCGAGCGCCCCTCACGCAGGATAGCGTCCCAGAACGCCTGTTAATAACAATAATGATAATAATACTAATCCTTGCATTTGACAAAAGCCTCAATCACATCTTCGGGGGACGCCTCAAAAGCACTTCCACAGAATATACTGCAAAAGCGGATTGACTGGCTGGCTGGGTAAACAGAGGTGCGTGTGTGTGTGTGTGTGTGTGGGTGTGTGGGGAGTAAGGAAACTTGGCTAAGGTTTTCGCCCCGACCCGGGGAATCGAACCCGTGTCCTCGTGAGAGCTCTGACCGCTGAGCTGGGAGCCAGCTTACCTTCCTCGGCAGCGAGCGGCCCACCGCCACGGCTGGCGTGGAGCAGAACAGCCCCACGTTGACCCCCGGGGTGGCGAACTTGGACCTCTCCGACGCCACGGCAATGTCACAGCTGGCCACCAGCTGGCACCCGGCTGCCGTGGCCAAACCGTCCACCTTGGCAATTACCGGCACCGGGATGTCCTGTATTAGGCTCATCACCTGGCAACGCGTCACAAAAATACTGTCCAACCAGAACAACAACAACGACGACAACACGAGCAGTTAGTTACGTGGCGCCTTTCATATCGGGAGGACGTCCCAAATCGCTGGACATTCAGGGATCCGCGCCCGAGCTGAGGGTTGGGATCAGGAAGGGGGGGGGGGGTGCGTGGAGGACGGAGAGGGTGAGAGGAGGAAGGTGACCCAAGGCGCGGTCGAAGAAGAGGGTCTCCTGAAAAGGGTCTTGAAGGAGGCGAGGGAGGAGGCGAAGCGGAGGGACTGTGGGATGGAGTTTCCAGAGGATGGGGCCAGAGTGGCTGAAGGCCCGACTGCTATAACCTTTGGCAGTCCCATTCCCCTGCTCTTCACCCCCGTCGTGTCTGTGCTGGGGCTCGCTCCCCCACTGGAGCTCTCTCTCTAACCCCATTCCCTGCTCTCCCTCTCTCTCCCCATTGTGTCTGTACTCCCCCACGCCCCAGTGGAGCTCTCTACCCCTAGAGTCTGCTTGCCAGACAGTGCCCTGAATGGCAATGCGGATGGTTAAGCTCCAGGAGCTAACCCCAACGCACACTCTTTTGAGTGTGTCACCACACACCTAAAGTGCTTGGGAGTGCTGAAACTAAACAGCCACCACAGAAATGAATCCAGTATCCGCTCACCTCCGAGCAGGTTTTGAAAATCTCAGAGTGGAAACTCTGGCCTTTAGCAGACGTCAGCTCCTTCAGATCGTGGCCGGATGAGAAGACAGGCCCCTCCGCTGCGTGAGCAGGAGTACGATAGGGTTGAGAACAGCTTAAAATACCAGTTTATTTATTTTATATTTACCTTTGGAACTCCATCCCACACTCCCTTCGCCTCGCCCCCTCCCTCGCCTCCTTCAAGGCACACCTCAAGACCCTCTTCTTCGACCGTGCCTTCGATCACCCTCCTATCCCCCCCGCCCCCTCCACCCCCTCCTGATCCCAAACCCCAGCTCGGGACCAAACCCCTGACTGTCCAGCTCCTGGGGACGTCCTCCCGGCGTGACAGACGCTGCGTGGATGTCATTTGCTGTTGCAAAATTAACTGCGGCCTTGCTATTAATAACAACAACAACAATAATAATCCTTGCACATGACATAGCGCCTTGTCGCATCGTTGAGGCCGTCTCAAAGCGCTTCGCAGAATATATACCGCAAAGGGAATTTTGTTTAATCTTGCGGGAGAAACGCGGCGGCCAATTTGCGCACAGCGGTGTCCCCACAAAAGCGCCTGACTGTACACCAGGCTTCAACAGGAAAAGTGGGGCGATCTCACCTACCTACCTACCTACCTACTTACCTGCGATGATGATGACTTGCAGGTCGGAGCTGTCTATTTGGTGGAGGAGGTCGGCTCGCAGGGACTGCAGCATGGCCAGCGAGAGAGCATTCCGATTCTTTGAGTTGTTCAGCGTGATTTTCCTGTTGGGAGGAGACGGTTTGCGGTCAGCAGAAAGCAAACCCCCCCCCGTAAGTCTTCGGATATTAAAGCTGAAGTCGCTGGTGAACGCTCAGCTCAGCAGGTCAGTCAGCGAGCCGCTGCGGGAGAGCATCACCTCACTTGCCCCTCTCTCTCTCTCTCTCCATAGATGCTTCCTGCCTGACCCGCGGAGTGTTCCCAGCGACTTCTGGTTTTATTTCGGATTTCCGGCATCTGCCAGTATTTTGCCTTATGGTTTAATTGTAGGCTTCAGATATTGCCTGAGCCCAAGGGAGTGGGGGCGGGCGGTGGGGGAGTCTCCGAACAGAGATCCAACTACTTAAATTTCTCCTCCCCTCACCGCGCACCCCCTCTGCCCAGCCCACCCACCCACCCCCCAACCCACCCGCCCAGCCTCAACACCAAGACGCAATGAAAGGAAAATTAGGAAACATAGGCAGGAGCGTTGTCGGTATAAATTCGAGAATAGTTATCGCAGATTTACAACAACAAGAATAATCCTGGCATTCGATCCAGCGCCTGATCACGTCTTCGAGACGTCTCAAGAGCGCTTCGCGGGATGGACTGTACAGGCGGTTGACCGTATATTTTGCGGGTGAAAAAGCGGCAGCCAACGGCTGCGCGCAGCGGCGTCCCCGCGAACGGCCGTGGATTGATTGACCAATTCATTTTTATTTTTTTGGGAGGGATTATTACCCCCGGAAAAGCCATCCGCCGATCGGCTACCAACCTATTTACCGCTGAGTAAACAGAGGCGCGTGTGCGGCGTAAGGAAACTCGCCCCGACCCGGGAATCGAACCCGAGGGTCCTCTCTCGCTCTAACCCCCTCCGAGCTACGTATCCAAGATGGGAGTGGCTTAAGTGTCCAAAACTCCGGCACGGAAAGATACCGCAGCCCGGCTAATAATTAATCTGATATAAAAAATATAAAAGCAAGTTAATAATAATAATAATAACAACTCAATCCCCCGCTGTTTGTGGGGGGGGGGGGGGGGGTCGCTGCCGCCTTTCGCCCACAAGGCACACAGTCACTGCGCTTAACAGTCTACGCTGTGAAGCGCTTTGAGGACGTCTCGACGATGCGAGGATTGTTATTGATGTAAAAACCCCCCCCCCCCCAACTCTGTTACTGGGGGGAAGCCAAACCCCTGTTGCCAGGGACCCCCAGGGTCAGCCCCCAGGGTCAGCCCCCCAGCCCCAGGGTCAGCCCCCAGGGTCAGCCCCTCAGCCCCAGGGTCAGCCCCTCAGCCCCAGGGTCAGCCCCTCAGCCCCAGGGTCAGCCCCCAGGGTCAGCCCCTCAGCCCCAGGGTCAGCCCCCAGGGTCAGCCCCTCAGCCCCAGGGTCAGCCCCTCAGCCCCAGGGTCAGCCCCTCAGCCCCAGGGTCAGCGGTCAGCCCCAGGGTCAGCCCCTCAGCCCCAGGGTCAGCCCCCCCAGCCCCTCAGCCCCAGGGTCAGCCCCCCCCCAGGGTCAGCCCCCAGGGTCAGCCCCCCAGCCCCAGGGTCAGCCCCCCTCAGCCCCCCCAGCCCCAGGGTCAGCCCCCAGCCCCAGGGTCAGCCCCCCCCCCCCCCCCCCAGGGTCAGCCCCAGGTCAGCCCTCAGCCCCTCAGCCCCAGGGTCAGCCCCTCAGCCCCAGGGTCAGCCCCTCAGCCCCAGGGTCAGCCCCCCAGCCCCAGGGTCAGCCCCAGGGTCAGCCCCCCCAGCCCCAGGGGTCAGCCCCCCCAGGGTCAGCCCCCCCAGGGTCAGCCCCCCAGCCCCCAGGGTCAGCCCCCCCAGGGTCAGCCCCCAGGGTCAGCCCCCAGCCCCAGGGTCAGCCCCCCCAGCCCCAGGGTCAGCCCCCGCCCCCCCCGCGGCCTGTCCTGACCTGATGCCCTGGTCCTGGCTGCGGACAGTCAGCCCCGGGCCCTGAGGCGGGGCCTCGCTGCTGCTGTGGCTGCGGCTCTGGGCCTGGGCCTGGGCTGGGCCCCGGGGGCCGGGGGCTCGGGTGAGGCTGAGCCCGGGCCTGGCCGCCAGGAGCCGGGACCGGAGCCTCAGCATCGCCGCCATCCGCCTCCCCGCTGGGGTCAGGGGTCACGGCGGAGCCCGGAGTCGCCCCCAGAAACCGCACAAAGTAGCCCGAGGCGCGCGCGCGCTGGTTACGGTGGTGGATGGGGAGAGGGTCAGTCAGTCAGTCAGTGAGTGAGTGAGTGAGCGGTCACTCGGTGGATATTTGGATTAGTTAAACTGACTGAGCGAGAGAGAGAGAGAGAGGTCAGTGAGTGAGTGGTCAGTGGGTGAGAGGTCAGTGAGTGAGTGGTCAGTGAGTGAATGAGTGAATGGTCAGTGAGTGAGTGAGTGAGTGGGTGGATGGTCAGTCAGTGGGTGGATGGTCAGTGAGTGGGTGGATGGTCAGTCAGTGGGTGAGTGAGTGGATGGTCAGTGAGTGAGTGGTCAGTGAGTGAGTGAGTGAGTGGGTGGATGGTCAGTGAGTGAGTGAGTGAGTGGGTGGATGGTCAGTGAGTGAGTGAGTGAGTGAGTGGGTGGATGGTCAGTGGTGTGGTGATGGTCAGTGAGTGGGTGGATGGTCAGTGAGTGGGTGGATGGTCAGTGAGTGGGTGAGTGAGTGGGTGGATGGTCAGTGAGTGGTCAGTGAGTGAGTGGGTGGGTGGATGGTCAGTGAGTGGGTGAGTGAGTGGGTGGATGGTCAGTGAGTGGGGTGGGATGGTCAGTGAGTGGTCAGTGGGTGGATGGTCAGTCAGTGGGTCACTCAGTGCCTGAGGGGAGGAGCTGGGGGTTGGGGGGAAGGATGTGGACGTTGCGCAGCCGGAACTGTCGGCGGTGGCTGTGTGTTTCCCTCCGGAGCCGCTGGTGGTGACGGACCCGCCGAGAAGCGCGGGGCCCGGGGCTGAGACTCACAGAGGGAGAGGGAGAGGCGGTGGGGGGTCAGGGGCTGTGCCGGGGACCGGAGGGCGGGGGCGACAGGTACACAACACCCGGACTCGGGCTCCTACTCCAGCCCCAGGCCTGAGCTCGGGCCTAGACCTGGGGTGGGGGGCGCTGTGTGTGGGGGTATGGGGGCTGTGTGTGTGGGGGGGGTGTGGGGGCTATGGGGGTGCTGGGTGTGTGTGTGTGTGCGTGGGGGGCGGTATGGTGGGGGGCTGTGGGTTTCGGGGGTTTTGTGGAGTTGCTGTGGAGTGGGGCTTGGGGGGCTGTGGGGGGGAGGGGCTGTGGGGTTTGGCGGGGCTGTGGGGTGTGGGGGGTATGTGGGAGGGGTGTAAGTGGGAGTTGGGGGTTGGCAGAGGCTATTGGAGTGGCTGTGTGGGGGGGCTGTGGGGTGTTGGGGGGGTATGTGGGAGTTGGGGAGGTATGTGGGGTTGGGGGGGTATGTGGGGTTGGGGGTATGTGGGGTTGGGGGGGTATGTGGGGAGTTGGGGGGTTGTGGGGGGGGGGTATGTGGGGTTGGGGGGTATGTGGGGTTGGGGGGTATGTGGGAGTTGGGGGGGTATGTGGGAGTTGGGGGGGGTATGTGGGAGTTGGGGGGTATGTGGGGTTGGGGGGGGTATGTGGGAGTTGGGGGGTATGTGGGAGTTGGGGGGGGTGTGGCTGTGGGAGTTGGGGGGGTATGTGGGAGTTGGGGGGTATGTGGGAGTTGGGGGGGTGTGGCTGTGGGGGGGGGTTGGGGGGGTATGTGGGAGTTGGGGCTGAGTTAAAAACCTGAGTCTTTATACTTGCGCTTTGGTCACCTGGCGCCCAATGTCCCCCATCGCTCGTCTCCCCCCCCCCCCCCTCCCCCCCCACCCCCCCCCCCCCCCCAGTGTCCCACAAACGCTCGTGGATTAGAGCGACCGCATATTTCTTTTTTTGTTTATCCCCCAGTGGGAGAGAAAAAGAACGAAAACGTTTCGGAAGGGGCGGAAAATAATCAGGTTAATATCAATCGTGTTGTTATTGTTAAAACGGCGAGAGGGCATCGCTCCCCGTAACCCCTTTTACCTTCTGCTTCTCCCAGGCGGTAAGCGAAAGGCACGATGTCGCTGTACGATGACTTGGGCGTGGAGACCAGCGATTCGAAAACAGAGGGCTGGTCCAAAAACTTCAAGCTCCTTCAGTCCCAGCTGCAGGTGAAGAAGGCGACGCTCACGCAGACCAAGGTAAAGGCCGCCTTCCGTCGCGCTGGCCGTCGCAGAGTCTGGCTGTTTTGCGTGTCTGCGGGACAACTGCGTTGCGCCCACAGAACGTACAGTCACTACACTACAACAGTAAAGTTCTGTGAGGCGCTTTGAGACGTCTCGGCTGCATCGAATGCCGGGATTATTATTACGATTGATTCTTTCTTAGACACAACGGACAAAGCAGAGCACTGTCTTAGCTCCGGTCATAGATCTAAAGAGAGGGAGCTCTAGTGAAGACAGACAGATCGTTGACACACCACCTCATATAGCCTCAGGCTTAAAGGTAAGATGACGTGGAAGGCGCTGTATCAAGTTATTTATTATTATTAATAAAGGATTATTTTCATGAATAAGATATTCTTTGAGATATTCCTGTTTGCACGTTGTAGTGTGATGCCGTCTAAAATCCAAGGTTTTTGTTTTGCTTTTGCAATCCAATAGGCGCTTTATAAATGTAAATTTAATTACTTTTGGGGGGGTGGGGCTGTGTCAGTCGGGTGTCTGACACGCGTGGAAACCCATCACCGTTGCTTAAGAGTCTCCAAACCAAACTGAGAATTCCCTGCATCCCTCCTACACATGGAAATTCGAGAGATAGATTGTTGGATTGGATTGCGCTCTCTCTCTCTCTCTCCTCTCTCTCTCTCTCTCTCTCTCTCTCTCCCCCTGGAGGGACGCATCCCGTTTACCTAATTCTGGCGCAGGTTGGCGAGAGCCAAGGCTTGGGAGAAGCCCAGATTGTGCATTAGGGTAACTGCTGGAGTCTGACCAGCTAAAACCGCATAACTTGCCATTGAGAGCGCTGTCTGGCCAAGCTTGACCAGCTCGGTCCACCCTCCCCGTTCGGGCTTTGGATTGTAAATCGGATTATATTTTTGAGGGCGGTTGCTTAGGTTTTCCTTAAAAGAACTATTGCTGCCATCGATAGCTCTGAAAGGAATGAGAGTTCTTGCTGTTGTCTGCGCACGTGTGGGTTTGCAGTAAGGATCAGTGTTGCTTCCATCCAGGACTCTGTGCCGAGCGGATTCTTATCTGGAGAGGCGTTAATCCCGTTGGCTGATGAGTACGATCCCATGTACCCGAACGACTACGAGAAAGTTGTGAAACGCCAGCGGGAGGAGAGGCAGCGGCAGCGGGAGCTGGAGAGACAGAAGGAAATCGAGGAGAGAGAAAAGTAAGTGTCCGTGGAAAATATAAGACTTTTTTTGTTCAGTACAATAATCCACAGGTTTGCATTTATATAGTGGATGTCCCAAGGGGCTGTAAAATATTTGCTCAGTAAACCTTTTTAATCTGCATTCTGATATTTTACGCAGTGTCAATGAGATGTTTAAAAAAGGAGAGAGGAGATGAGTGGGAAATGAGGGTATTAAGGGTTATCACGACATCAAGACATCTCAAAGTGCTTCACAGAATATACTGTATTTTGTAAGCAAAATGTATAATATATATAGGGTTTGATAGTGTAAATAAACTGATAGCATCTATAATATGTATTAATATAGAATAGCGATTGGCTGCGCAATTTTGTTTTGCCCACAAAATACACAGTCAGTTTGCTTAACAGTATATCCCGTGAAGCGCTTTGAGACGCCTCGACGAATTGATGAGGCGCTATGTCAAATGCAAGGATTATTATTACAGCATTAGAAAATTTAGACCGAAACGGATTGAAGCAAGACTGGGAATGACTGCAGAGTCCCTGATTCAGCAGACTTGGCCGGTGTTTGTTTCTCTAAAAAAATTGATTGTCAGTGCGATTATATTAAAAAAAAATTCATCCCCGACTCCCGATCTGAAACCCGCAGGCGAAGAAAAGAGCGACACGAGCAGCCGACCGGATTCGCCCGAAGACCAGACCCCGACTCCGACGAGGACGAAGAGCGAGACAAAGAGAGGAGGAAGAGAACTCGGTGTCCGGCGGCTTTCACAAGTCAGTCTCCCGGTCGCTGCTGAGCCTCACTTAACTCTTTGCTCATTTTCTTTGGCTCTGAAAGAAGAGTCAGCGGTTAGAGCGCTCGTCTCGCAAACGAGAGGACCCCGGGTTCGATTCCCGGGCGGGTGGGGCGAAACCTTAGGCACGTTTCCTTACTCCACACACGACAATCGACTAATAGCTGGGTTCCTACTCACACGAGTAGTAAGTAGGGACCCAGCTGTTAGTCGATTGTCGGATCGCTTTTTAAGGGGAAATAATCCCTTGCAAGGATTATTATTATTACTGTTTTTATTATTATAAGAGGCTTCAAGTGCTAAGTGCTCTCTCTTCCTCTGTGTTTAGATGTGGGAGGAGCAGCGATTGCACCACCTTCGTCACTCGTCGAGAAGGACAAAGAGCGTATGTATGAATTATAATAATATGCATGTTATGAATTCACTGAGATCACGCCTATTTTATATGAATTCTTCGGACGAGGCGTTAAAATAAGGTCGCGTCTGCCCGTTCAGGTGAACATTAAAGATCCCAAGACGCAGTTCGGAAAGAGGAGAGAGTTTCTCTCTCCAGGTGTCCTGGCTGACAATCTCCACCCCCACCCACCCCCCCTCAGAAATATTCTCTGCCCTGTCTTCCTTTGGGAGTGCTGTAAAGTGGGATTCTTTGTTTTATTTAAAGTAAGAACAGCACAGTCACAATAGACCACTGTTCCTGTGTTGTAAATTTCTAGTATTTTTTTTATATAACTCCCCCACCTACACTCCTGGGTTTCTTTCACCTGAACCTCTCGTGTGATCTTGTCTCCTGGCCTCATCTCGCCTTCACTGTTGGCTCTGCACGACTGTTTGTGGGGACGCTGCTGTGCGCAACTGGCTGCCGTGTTTCGCCCACCAAATATACGGTCAGTTCCCTCTACAGTGTATTCTGTGAAGCGCTTTGAGACGTGATAAGGCGCTGTATCAAATGCAAGGATTATTTTTAGGGTTATTATTATTTCTTGCTCAATGGAGATGGACGAGAATGTTTTCTTCCCGGCAAGTTAGTTTGCATCAATAATAATAATAATCCTTGCATTTGATATAGTGGCTTATCGAGATGTCTCAAAGCACTTCACAGGATACACTGTGAAGTCAATTGACTGTATTTTGTGGGCGAAAATAGCTGTCTTTTACACGTTCTAAGCTAAACGCCGCGCGGTTCCCGTCTCGCACGTGCTAACGTTTTTCTTCTACCCCCCCCTCCCCTTTTGTTAAAGTCATTCCGCCTTTCCAGTACGAGGAGGAGGCCAGATCGCGGGCCACGCCCTCCTCCAAAGCCGCCATTCCTCCGCCTATTTACGACGAGCCCCCCGAGAGACCACGCTCCCCACCTGGTCCCACCAACTCCTTCATTGCCAACATGGGGTGGGTGAAGGCTCCAAAACACGTCTGCGCAGGGGGAGGGGGGGGCAAAGGATACCTTTTTTTTAGTGCCTTTCTAGTGGCAGGAACAGACAGACAGACCTCTGTGACTAAGACCCGGCGGAGAATGTCGCTTCAGATGTAGCACGTATACAACAACAACAACTTGCATTAATACAGCGCCCTGCGTACGGGGTAGCGTCCTGGAGCGCTTGACAGTGGCGGAGTCTGACACCGAGCCGGGAGGGCGGGGAGAGGTGACCGTCAGCGAGAACTAAAAGGAAGGTCTTTAGGCGGGACTTGAAAGCGGGGAGGGAGGGAGGGGCAAGGCGGTGGGACGGATTGAGGGAGAGAGTTCCAGAGTTTCAGGGTGTAGTGGCTGAAGGCACGGCCAGCGGTGGTGGAACGGAGGGGGCGAGGGTAGGACATGTCACACACGTATACACAGGTACCTCTGAATTGTGTGCCACACATACTCAACAACAGCAACAAATGTCCTGGCTCAGGAACCAGATTACCGAGACTGGCACAGAGGACTGACAGAACATTCCATTGCCGCGCATTGTCAGCAGTGATTACGGAAGTGCTCTGTGACTACTTGACGTTAAAAGGCGCTGAGTTGCACACGAGGATCCTGTTGTTGCTATTATAAGGATGGTGTTGTTTCCTGTGTTGGTGACAGAGGCACCGTGGCTCACAAGATCATGCAGAAGTACGGATTCCGCGAGGGTCAGGGCCTCGGGAAGCACGAGCAGGGCCTGAGCACGGCGCTGTCGGTGGAGAAAACCAGCAAGCGAGGGGGCAAGATCATCGTCGGTGACAGTGCGGAAAAAGGTAACCAGGGCTTTACTACCCCACACATTTCCTGGCATTGTGATCCTCTCAATCCAGGTCTGCGTTGAGCCGAACGAAACCGTCAGCCTCTCTACCCCCACCCTCTGCAACTTCCTCCGCCTCCTCCGAGGCCCATCTCAAGAGCTTCCTGCTCGACCGCACCTTCGGTCATCTTCTCATCTTCACCACCACCCTCTTTTGCTCCTCACCCCTCTTGGCTCCAAACCCCAGCTCGGGTGTAAACCCTTGCAAACTGTCCAGCGCCTTGGGACGTCCTCCGGATGTGAAAGGTGCTGCATAAATGCAATTTGTCGTTGTTGAAGTGTGTAAGCTGGACTGAGTTGGTTGCCTCTGAGTTGGAAGTTTGTTTCCACGCTGGAATTTGACCATGTCAAATCTTCTTACCCCCCTCCCCCCCCACCCGTGCCATCGGTGGGCAAACCTTTGGCAACTTTACACGTTATCCAAAACTCTCCCTAAATCCCTTCACCTCACCCTCTTCCCCCCCCCTCCCCCCTCTCTCTCTCTCTCTCTCTCTCTCTCCTTGCTTTCCAAACACTTCTAAAAACTTATCTCTTTGACTAGGGACGAAATCTGTTGTATATCAATGCAATTTCCGTAGTGTTGCAATGTGACTTAATCCAGTGTGACTGGCTGGAGTGTGACGGACTGCAGAACCTTGTGTGACTGGCTGGAGTGTGATGGACTGCAGTACCTTGTGTGACTGGCTGGTGTGTGACGGACTGCAGTACCCTGTGTGACTGGCCGGTGTTTCTTGCAATTTGCCGTTCGTGCGTTGACCTGAACTTTGCTTTCCTGGATTGTCCACAGTGGAAGCTCCGGCAGCTACCAAAAAAACAGAGGCAAACCCGTTAACAGAGATCCTAAAAAATCCCACCAAGGTGGTCTTACTGCGGGTAAGAGAACGACACGTGTATTGACACCTGTGTGAATGTTTACTGCGGGGTTTCAGCCTTGCCTGGTCTCCTGAAGAACGAGTTTGACCGTTTCCTTCCTCCTCCCGGGGTACAGTTCCTCTAGTACTTTGCTCAAGTGGTCGCTATGCAAGTGCGAGACTCAAATCAATGTGACCCTTACATCCACGCAGTGGGAGCGTTACTGTGTTTGCGTGTGCATACTGTGCTCGCTCAGTACAACCTCCGTTTATCTGCTGCGATCCATCCTACCCCCAACAGGTGGGGTTTTTCTGCAATGGGTCGCATGCAGTGGCTGTGCTGTGTTGGTTTTTATCAGAGACTGCCTGGAAAGACCTTTAACCCAAATGGACTTTAATTTCACTCAGTGAACGTAGGTACTGATCGCTAACGGGCTGGTTAACGCACTGTACTTTGGTCTCTGGTGTCATAGAATCGTACAGCACAAAAAGAGGCCAGTCGGCCCATCGAGTCTGTGCGGCTCTTTGAAAAGAGCAATGCAACGTCAATCCCACTCCTCAGCCCTTTCCCCATAACCCTACAAACCCGTCCGCCTCAAGTACCCGTCCACCGCGTTTTTAAAAGTTGTTATCGAATCGGCCTCGACCGCCCTTTCAGGCGATGCGTTCCAGATTCGAACAACTCGCTGCGTGAAGACATTTCTTCTCCCCTCCCCTCGGCTTCTTTTAGAGACTATTTTGAATCTATGACCTCGAGTCACCAACACACCCACCAGTGGGAACAGTTTTTCCCTTTCTAACCTAACAAATTCCCTCATGATTTTAAAGACCTCTATTAGGTCCTCGTAATCTTCTCTGCTCCGATGAGAATAATCCCGGCCTCTCCAGCCTTTCCTCATCATCACGGTCCCTCGTTCCTGGTTCCATCCTCGTAAATCCCCTCTGCGCCCTTTCCAATGCCTTAACATCCTTCCTACAGTGTGGGGCCCAGAACTGGGGCAGTATTCTAACTGAGGCCTAACCAGTGTTTTATATCAGTTAATCATCACCTCCTGACTCTTGTACTCTATGCCCTATTTATAAAGCCCAGTATCCCATATGCCTTTTTTACAGCTTTATCTTCCTGTCCTGCCACCTTCAAGGATTCATTTACCTGCCCCCCCCAGGTCCCTCTGTTTTTTTACCCCCCTTATGATTGTATTACCGCCTATATTGCCCCTCATTCTTTCTACCAAAATGCATTACCTCACATTTCTCCACATTGACACTCATCTGCCATGTGTCGCCCATTTTACCATCTGTCTGTCTTCCTGCAGTCGGCTGCTATCCTTCTCACTGTTTCCCACCGTACCTAACTTTGTGTCGTCCACAAACTTGGAAATGGTGCTTGCTATTCCCAAGTCCAGATCATTTATGTATATTAAGGACAGTGGTCCTAATACCGATCCCCGGGGGAACGCCACTGTACACTTCCCTCCAGTCAGAAAAGCAGCCGTTCACCACAACTCTCTGCTTTCTGTCTCCCAGCCCCCAGTTCTGGATCCGCTGCCACTGTCCCTTTTACACCATTGGCTTCTATCTTTCTAACAAGTCTTTCATGTGGCACTTTGTCAAATGCCTTTTGAAAGTCCATCTAAACTACATCAACTGCACTACCTTTATCCACCCTCTCCGTTACCTCATCGAACAATTCTATTAGATTTATTAGACAAGATTTGCCTTTAACAAATCCGTGTTGGGTGTCCCTAATTAACCCATATTCTTCTAAGTGAAGATTTATTCTGTCCTGGATTATAGTCTCCAGGAGTTTCCCCACTAATGGTGTTAGGCTGACTGGCCTGGAGTTTCCAGGTTTGTCCTTCTGTCCCTTTTTGTACAGGGGAGTCACATTGGTCACTCTCCAGTCCTCTGGCACCACCGCTGGGTCCAACGAAGATTGAAAAATTGTAGCCAAAGCCTCCGCTATTTGTACCCGTCCCTTCCATAGTACCCTTGGCTGCATCCCGTCCGGACCGGGCGACTTATCTACCTTCAGCCCAGTCCACCTTTTCAGTACTTCCTCTCTGTTTATACTTATCCTATCCATTTCCTCTCCCCTCTCCTCCGATACTGCGGCATTTGGTGCATCCACTTCTTTTGTGAAGACAGATGCAAAGTACTCATTCAGTACATCAGCCATGCCCTCTGCCCCCACAATAAGATTTCCGCCTTGGTCCTTAATTGGCCCCACCCTACCTTTGACTAACCTTTTTTTTCTTGATATGTTTGTAAAATATTTTAGAATTCCCTTTAATGTTACCCACTTTTTTCATATAATCTTTTTGCCCCTCTTATTTCCTTTTTCAGTTCTATTTGGCTAGCCAGACATCATCATAATAATAATAGTCCTTGTGTTTGTTATGGCGTCTTATCACGTCTTGAATAGTAATGGGTTGAACGGCCTCCTTCTGTGCTGAAATTTAGACCGGGTTTGCTTCATTCTCAGAACATGGTGGGGGCAGGAGAGGTGGATGATGACCTGGAAGGTGAAACTAAGGAAGAGTGTGAGAAATATGGCAAAGTCACTAAATGCGTTATATTTGAGGTAAGAACGTTCAACACTGAATTGCTTAACTCTCCTCTCGTTCTTTCTCTCTGTATCTCTCTATTTCTGTATCTATTGTTATAATCTTTGCATTTCTTATAATCATCACGTCGTTGTGACGTCTCAAAGCTCTTCAGAGAATATCCTGTAAATTGAATTGACTGTATTTTATGACTCTGTAACTCTTTCTGTATCTCTCTCTCTCTCTGTAAATCTGTATGGCTCTCTCAATATTTCTCTCCTCTCTTTCTCTTTCTGTACTTCTCTTTGTATGTCTCTTTCAATCTCTCTCTCTCGCCCCAGCTCTGTTGAACGAAAAGCGACGGTTTTAACAACAACAGCTTGTATTTCTCTAGCGGCCCTCACACAGGGTAGAGTCCACAAAACATTAATGATTCCTACCTCTTCCTTGCATGAAGTAATCTGTCCCGAAGCTACAGTCCTGCTGACATTATGTCATCTGTGTAACAGGGCAGGTGTAAAGTGCTCTGGCCTGGCAAATGGGGCTTCTATCCCATTGATTTTACTTAATATACCTCAGTTTAATGACTCATCCGCCGATAATACGACGCTCCCCCTCCTCTGCCCCCCCTCTCACAGTGTCAGCCTGACGTGGGACTTGTACCCACTAGCTTCTGACTCAAATATGCCACTCACCATTGGGTACCTTCTGTTTGTAACGTATGCTTGAATGTAGTGAGTGTTTACGATGCCAAATTGGGTTCAGCGAAACATAGAGGCCTGATGTTAGCCTGGCTCAGTTGGTAGCATTCTCTTTGAATCAGAAGCTGTGTGGAGTCCTGTAGCTCAGTGGTTAGAGCACTCGCTTTGCAAGTGAGAGACCTGAGTTCAATTCCAGGCAGAGGGCGAAACCTCGGGCAAGTTTCCTTACTCCACACAGAGCCTAATAATAATCCCTCCAAAACCCAAAAACAATAATAAATTGGTCACTTTCAATCTATGACTGTTTGTGGGACATTGCTGTGCGCAATTGGCTGCCGCGTTCGCCCACAAATATACAGTCAATTCACTTTACAGTGTGTTCTGTGAAGCGCTTTGGGACATCCTCCCGACGTGAAAAGCGCTATATCAAATGCAAGGATTATTATTATTATTAGAAGCTAGTGGGTACAAGTCCCAGGTCAGGCTGACACTGCGGGCGAGGGGGCAGAGGAGGTGGGGGAAGCGCTGTATTGTCGGAGGATGAGTCATTAAACCGATTTCCCATCTGTTCCTGTTCAAGCGAATCACAAAGAATTTAATGGCACTATTCGAAAAGAAGAGAAGGGAGTTTCGTGGTTGTTTCCCGGGTGACAATCCCCCAGATAGCATTGTTCACTTCACAGCTGGCTGTTTATGTGAGAACATTGTTTGTCTGCCATGTTGGCCTATAAAATGCACAGTTATTATGATAATAACAATAATAATCCTTGCATTTGATATAACGCTTTTCACATCTTCTATACTTAATCGTAAGTTATTTTCAAGCACTTTGAGACATCCCACCCATGTTGTTGACAGGCGCCATGTCAACCACAAGGGGTTGCGGTTTGACCGTAGAAGGCAGTGACTGCATTTTGTAGGGGAAACCGGCCACTTTGCTAACAGTGTCCTGGGGTGTCAGCATAGATTTATGCAAGTTCAAAGCCTCTGTGGTTGGGAGCTTGAACCCACAAACGTATAACTCGGGAGTTGAAGGTTCACACACCTCGATCCTCTTCAATACCTCCCTGTGTGTGTGACGCACGCTGTTAGAGTCACTCTTGTTGTAGAGTGAGTTTGTTGTTGTGCAAGCGCCTCAGAAGAGAGAGAGCTGTTTCCTCTTACGGTTCCTTGCTTCATCACAGCTTCCTTTCCGAGAAAGGCTTCCACTTATTCATAACTCGTCTTTCGTCACTACCAGGGTTGTGGACAGACCGTTAAAACCCCTGCTTAAAACCCTTAATGAGAATAATGATCCTGACGTCTCAAAGCACTTTCCAAGATTTTACTATTAAGTGCTGTGAGTTCGTGTTTGTGGGCGGAATTATAATGTTGGGTTAGTAATAAACTTCACATAAGTTAGGGCCATACACTTCATATGACTTACCCGAAGTACGAGTTATCTGCTTTATACTGATCAGACTGATAATAATCCTTGTTCTAATGATTATTATTGATGGTGGGTTTTAGTGTGCGCCAGGCACCATCAGACTGACGCAAAACCCAACGCTTTTAAAAGGGCAAATTCTTTAAAAGGGTGAAATTGTAATTCCAAATTTCTGCAGAGCAGCATTTTTAATTCCCACCTTAAGCCCTACCCTTCCAACCACGCCTACCATCAAATATATGCATCTCGCCCATGAAATGCAAGGTCAATCCCCTTCACAGAATATTCTGCAGAGCGCTTTGAAACAATTCAGTCACTTGATAAAGCACTGCATCAAATGCAGGTATTATTCTTGTTACCTCTCCCTCCCCACTCGCTCTGTGTACAGCCCTGCTCTATGAGATGCTATGTTGCGTGAAAGACCTTGTGTAAATGTGGGTTGTCATTGCTCCGGAGAAACAGATTTCATACCAGAGGTATAATTCCTGAATGTTCAGGGCAGTCAGTTCCGAGAGAACTTGGATGAGTCATCTGGGCATTTAGCCAGGTTTGGCATTGACGCAGTGCTGAGGGTTCGTTAAGAAGTGCGTGTTACAAACATTACAGTTTATCATCATTGAATTTCTTCCGTTTTACTGACCACGTTTGGAAACCGGTTAAGTTGCTTAAATCCTCGCCCCTGCACGCCCGCATGTGTACACGCATACAAACAGCAGGTCTGGATTTACATCTTGTGTGTTTTGATACCACCATTGACAGGATCTAAAGTTTTACTATTAATAAATCAGAATAAACCCACAATCGGCTGATCGTTTTGCCCACAAAATACACAGTCAATTCACTTTGCAGTATATTCTGTGAAGCGCTTTGAGACGTCTCAACAATATGATCAGGCGTTATCTGTGGACCTATAATAAGCGAAAACTAGTGTACCACGCAATTAATGGTTCTGTGTGACTTTGTGACTTTTCAGATTCCTGGAGCGCCTGATGACGAGGCAGTCAGGATATTTGTGGAGTTTGAGAGGGTAGAATCCGCCATCAAAGGTAAGGACCCTTCCCCATCATTTGATTTTACAGCAAATCAAAGCCAAGAAAGCCAAAGCCCTAATGAGTAGGGTGGTCCTCGCTGGACAAGCTGGACAGGCAGTCCTATCAGTGGCAAGATGTGTGGTTTTAGCTGGTTAGACTCCAGCAGTTACCCCGAGCGCAAATTCTGAGATCCCTCCCAAGCCTTGGCTCTTGCCCGCCTGCATCTAGTATTCTCTGGAATTATGTGAGCAGTGCGTGATCCTCTGGGGCGAGAAGGAGAGTGCTCATTCTATTCCAAACGTGTGAATTTCTGTGTGTAGGTGGCATTCATATGTTGAACTCCTTGAATGGGTTGGCCACTACTAAGAGTGGCGATGGGTTTCTGCCATGTGTCAGATACTTGGCTCGCCAGCGCGACATGAGGATGGGGAAGATGGGGGAAAGGCGGAGGATTAGAGGGAGAGTGTTCCAGAGTTTCGGGGCGTAGTGGCTGAAAGTAGAACGAGGGCACCAGGTGCAAGCAGGAGGCCGGAGCCTGTCGAGCGGAGGTTGTTTTACCTCGCCCTCTCCTTTTGCCTCCTGTCTCGAGACCTTACGCTTTGACCGTGCCTTCGGTCACCCTCCTACCCCTGCCATCCACCCCCCTTGATCCCAACCCCCAGCACGGCTCCAAATCCCTGACTGTCCAGAGCCTCAGGATGTCCTCCCGACTTGAATGGTGCTGAGTAAATATCATTTGTTGTTGTTCTTTGTGAGTGACTGAGTGAACATGTCTCCAGCAAATGCCTTGTCGTGGGGACAGCTGATTACGAATCCACCAGCAATTAACTTGTGACTGTATCTTAATCTAAAACTATCATTTGCTCCCGAGGCAAAGGAAATTCCACCAGGCTTAAACCTGTTAATAAAAAAAAATACGATGAAGCGAGGCGTGGGCAGCTCTGAAATTGAGTCTTAGTTTGGAAGCAGATATTCCTCAGCTCTTAAAATGAACTGAAAGGCTTTAAGAATTTTTCACTGTTCTGCCCAGTCTTGACAATTAACCCAACGAGAAGCTAAGATGAGGTGGAAGTTCGGGTCTCTAAGGCAGGGTGATCCAACTGGCGGCCCGCGGGCCACATCCGGTCAAAATAAATAATAATAATAATAATATTAATAATTTGGTCACTCAATCCACGACTGTTTGTTGGACACCGCGTCAGTATATTTTGCGAAGCTCTTTGAGATGTCTTATTATTATCAAATGCAAGGATTATTATAATTATTATTATTATAATGAATGCTTCTCCTTGTGTTTCAGCTGTCGTTGACCTGAACGGAAGGTACTTTGGAGGCCGAGTGGTCAAGGCCTCTTTCTACAACCTGGACAAGTTCCGCCAATTGGACTTGGGTGACCTTTTCTGAAGCGGTCGGCATCGCCAGCCTCTCTCTCCACACCCACACCCTCATCACCCCCTATGACCCACACCCCCCCTCCGTCACCCATCACAGACCACACCACACACACACTCCTCGCCCCCCCCCCCTGTCCATGGGAGCCAGTGGTTCCCCCTGTCATGGACTGCAAAGCTGTGAAGGGGAAACATTTAAGAAAACTGCAGCCATTTTGCTTTGTAAGCCTTGTCAATCTCCTCCTCCTGCTCCTCACTCCCCCCCTTTTATCTTTTCTTAGAGGTTCAGATCATCCTCTTGTCAGTCATCTCTTTGTTGACTTGACCCTGAAATGGCTGGTGGACAAGTCTTCTCGGTTGTTCCCTTTTCCACATTGGAAGTTTTGGCTTGAAGTGCGCTGCTATTTTGTGTTGTGGTCCTCTCTCCTCTCTCTCTTACCCCACTCCTCTCTCTCTCTCTCTCTCTCTCCCCCCCCCCCCCCCCCCACCCCGCAACCACACACACAAAATCTTCTTCAAATCTTCTGGCCGACAGATCCGTAGCCCTGATCGTGATTTGAGAAACATTCCCCGAAGTCCTGTGCTGTTCTCAGCCATCCCTCCCTCCCTCACCAGTGTGGTCTCAGGTCTCGCAAGAGGAAATGGAAGCAGAGAGAACTAGCCTTTCTGTAGTTGGTGCCTTTTACTCTTATTTTCTCTCTTCTCCAACCCCCCCCCCTCCATCTCCGCGCCATCTCAATACCTAGGCCGTGAAACTCGCAAGTCAGTATCTACTACAGGGGTACGTAGGTTTATGTACTACAGTAACACTATCTGTCGGCTCCCTCGGGTAAGACCTGTACAATACCTTGCCGTGCCGACTGGAAACTGGCAGGTTTGAATCCCGCTCCTCTGCTTGTTAGCTGGTCTCAGCGTGGAGTCCTGCAGCTCAGTGGTTAGAGCACTCGCCTCCCAAGCGAGAGGACTGTGGTTCAATTCTCTGGCGGGGCGCGACCTTAGGCAAGTTTCCTTACTCCACACACACACACACACACACACACACACACACACACGCCTCTGTTTACCCAGCAGTAAGTAGGAACCCGGTAGTTAGTCGATTGGCGGATCGCTTTCCGGGGGTAATAATCCCTCCAACAAAAATAATAATAACAATTTGGTCACTCAATCCACGACCGTGTGTGGGACGCTGCTGTTTGCAATTGGCCGCTACTTTTCACCCACAGAATACGCAGTCAATTCACTTTACAGTCTATCCTGTGAAGCGCTTTAAGACGTCTCAACAATGTGATAAGGCGCTGTATCAAGCGCAAGGATTATTATTGGCCTCAGTGTTGGAAGATTGGATTTCAGTCAGGGTCGCACAGCTCCTGATTGCTCTCCAACGACCCCTCCAACCTCCTCCCTCTGAAGGTGACTGTAGATATCAAGATCCAATTTGGCTTTGACATTGCCCCCTCCCCCCTCTATTCCTCCCCCTCTCTTCCCCCAGTCGACTATCCTGCAGTGGCTTGCAGTCAAGGATCACAGTTGGAACAGGCTTGATGGCGAGGTACAAGAGGGTGACAGGCAAGAGGGATAAAGGATTCAAAGGGATTTCTCTGGAGAAGCAGAGCGCGGGATTTCTTTGGGGGGGGGGAGGTGGGGACAAGGTTGGAGATTAAAAAAAAAGTGGATTTTTTTTTTAACACACACACACGTAAATAAAATGTGAGCACTCTCGCGTTTGCCGGACAGTAAATTTCTGCAAACCATTCCCATTTCTCCCCTCCCTCCTTTCAACAACGCGTAGGTGGATTGTTTCGCGTTTGTCTCAGCGGTCAGTCTCTCTAACCTTGAAGGAAAAAAGAAAAGAGAAGAGGAGTTCTTTTTCGAGCGAGGAATCAGGCCCACGACTGTACCCTTTTCCCGTGAATCGGTTTGCGTTTTGCTTATAAGTATTTGGTTGTGTTTTCTCAGCCTTACTCCGTGCTTGTGATGCTCGACTGTTCCCGTTTCGATTATAATAATCTGTTGTGGTCCCTTTTAAGAATATCGACCCACGTGGTAGATTGCTGTACTGTGCACGCGTTCTGTGTCTTGACGAGGCATAACTGCAAAAGAAAAAGAAGATTAATATTTGTTTTCTGTTGCGTTCAAAGAGCAGTGAAAATGCATGGATCAGCCTCGAGGGGCCTTTAATGTCGATGTACTTTTTTTTTAAGCTGACATCGATGTGGGTCGTGTACGAGATTATTTTTTTTTGGTTTGGGGGAAAAAAAAGGGCTTTTTAAAAGAGAAAAGAAATCGGACAATGGGTTTAAAAAGGTCGAAGAAGCTCACAATAAATGTAAAGGTATTCGTAAACTCCTTTTTTTTAATTTTGTTATATTTCATTGGAGTTCCTGTTGCGTAGTGGGAAATGGCCTCGCCTCGCAAGCAAGAGGACTCGGGTTTGATTCACACGCAAAAAGGTTCCTTACTCCGTACACCTCTGTTTACCTGGTAGTAAGTAAGTAGGAACCCGGTTGTTCGTTGTTTGGTAGATTGCTTTCCGGGGGTTTAATAATCCCTCTCCCCCCAAAAAAATATTGGTCACCCAATGCACGACTGTTGGGATGCCACGTTTCGGCCACAAAGATATACACACTTGGACTAATTTTACCGTCTATTCTGTGAGGCGCTTTGAGACGTCCTCCTGGTGCGAAAGGGTGAGAGATGGGTGGGAAGGAAGGAGATGAGCGGAGGGGCGGTGAAGGAGGGAGAAGTTTTAGAAGCGCTTTGAAAGAGGCTGACGCTATTAGTTTTCGAGATGATTCAATGATGAAACATTTTTATCTGTACACACAGCTGGGTTGATTGAACAAGCTACAGCTAATGCATTACCTTAACTTACTGCTTCGCACTTTATCAACAAGTAGCTAATAATTAACTACATTTTCCGTGGAAGTGCAAATTGTCACCCAACAGGTGTGATTGTTTTCCACCATTACGCCAGCGCTCTGGAATTGTTGAGTCGCGAGACATAGTGGTTAGAGCGCTCACCGCGAAAGCGAGAGGACCTGGGTTCGATTCCCGGGAGGGGCGAAACTTTCGGCAAATTTGCTTACTCTTCACACACCCGCCCGTTTACCTAATAACAAGTAGGAACCCGGTTGTTAGTCGATTGGCGGATCTCTTTCTGGGGTAATAATCCTGCCACACGCTATGTGCTCATTCAATCCATGACTGTTTGTGGGACGCTGCTGTGCTCAACTGGCTGCTGCGTTTCGATCACAAAATATATAGTCAATTCACTTTACAATATACTGTATTCTGTGGAGCGTTTTGAGACGTTTCGATGACTTGATCAGCTGCTGTATCAAAGAGATCCATTTTGGGGGTGGCATTTGCAGATGGGGAGAGAAGAAGGAAAGGCAAAGGCAATCTGGGAAGAAATAGATTTGCGAGGCACGGAGCATGACATGCTTAGCATGTTTCCAATATTAACAATAACCTTTGCGTTTGATATTAGCACCTTATTACGTCTTTGACGCGTCTTGAAGTGAAGTGTAGTGACTATGTAGTGGGCGAAATACAATCTCGTGAACACCCAACTAACTTGCTCTTGGTATTTTCATTTAATCTATGGCTTTTGCAGATTGAGAGACCGAGAGCTTTGTTGGAAGGTCACAACGTGTGATGAATGGTGGGTCCCATCCAATTCCTTGTCCTCCAGAAAAGTGTTTGACCTGCATAGAATGTCTGGCGTTTCTCCCCTTCCCTAGTGAAAATGTTTGGTCCCTGTGTGACACGTTCATCAATTGGCTGCCGTGTTTCGCTCACAAAATACACGGTCACTGCACTTTACAATATTACCCGGTTGCTAGTCGATTGGCAGACCGCTCTCCAGGGGTAATAATCACTTAAAAAGCATAATAATTCGGATGTTCAGTCCACGAATGTCGTGGCACACCGCTGTGCACAACGGTCAATGCACTTTACAATATATTGTATGCAGCGCTTTGAGACGTCTCAACGACATGATAAGGCGCTATATCAAATGCAAGGATTATTATTATTATTACTTGCTCTAAAGTAGCTTTCAAGTTGAGGAACGCATTACCACAAGAGGCTATAAAAATAATAATACTTTTATTAGAGACGTTGATGAGACAGGTTTATGAGACATCTTAAAGCGCTTCACAGGATCCTACTTAAAAGTGGCGTGGCTGTGCGTAGGTGAATGCCGAAGCCTATTTGCGCTCAACAACGTCCCACAAACAGGTGCGAGCCATCAGTTTTATCGCGGCGGATTTTTGGCCAGGACACGGGGAGAGAGAAACTCGCTTCTCTTTCGAAAAGCGTGCCGTGGCAGCCTCACCATCAATCCGAACAGGCACCGATGGGACCTTGGCTCAATGTCTCACCCGAAGGACAACGCCTCTTGACAATGCAACACACGGCCCTTTCTGGTAAAGAGCGCTACCAACTGGGCCAGGCTCACACCCCACACACACCCGCAGATACACATACAACATACAAGTGCAACGCTATAAACAACAACAAATTACATTGGTATAACGCCCTACACTTTGGGAGGAGGACGTCCAATGGCGTCGGACAGTCAGAGATTTGGACCCGAGCTGGGGGTTGGGATCAGGAGGGGTGGAGGGCAGGGGTAGGAGGGTGACCGAAGGCACTGCCTGGAACTCTTCCCCCCCCCCCCCCCCACCCCCCACTGAAAGGTTGTGGATGTTGGCTCCCATTTCAAATTTTCGGGACCAAGTGGATAGATGTTTACTTGGTCAGGGTATCGAGGGACATGGGGCAAAGGCTGGTAAAGGGAGTTGAGGTACAGAGCCGACATGATCTAAAAAGAAGGTGGAACAGGCTCGCAGGGCTGAATGGCCACTTCCTGTTCCTTGTTCCTCCGCTCTTCTCTGCACTTCTGTATCGTACATAGCATTAGGATAAAAATAACGCAATCGCCCGTGTCACCGGTTGAGGATTCTGACATTGGTTAAGTGACAGGAAGGAAAGGGAGTTTGGGCAAAAAAAAAGTGCAGAGCTCGCTTACAACTTACTCGGTTGTGAAACTTATTCGTTTACCAACGGCAGGAGA